GAGGCGTCCTTCAGCTGGCCCCTAAACAAATAAATATACTAGTTCAGTGATAATGGACGTCATACTAAACTCCAAATTATACACAGAAAATTAAATTAAAAATGATACAAGACTAACAAAGGCCAGAGACTCCTGACTTGGGACAGGCGCAAAAATGCGGCGGGGTTAAACATGTTTTTTGAGATCTCAACCCTCCCCCTATACCTCTAGTCAATGTAGAAAAAACAAACGCACAACAGTACATTGAAGAACATATAACGTTTCCCCGTTATATATAACTGAAATAGTTTGACTTCACATGTTGTATGTGATTGTTTTTATTAGTTCAGCCTATTGCAAATTGATGTCAATCATTTTAAAATCATCATGGAACTCAAGATAAGTGCATGTACAAGCAATATGTGGAGTCACATGACCTTATCACGAAGTTAAATTATGTATATCATGCATTTGATACTTCACAAGTCGTATACAGAAAGTATTGCCAATTCCAGGAACACATTAAATATAGGATCCATGAAGAATACAAGACATTGACCAATCAACGTGTTATCGTGATCATATAACTTGTAGTTATACTTTCAGGTTTTGTCTCCATATGCTGAAGTTATTTTTGAGTTTAAGAGTTCATTTCTATAAAGATCGCAAGCTCTGATAAATCAGCTGAGATACGCATAAAAACTATTGGCTGGGCTTGATTGTTTATTAGTTGTTATTGGCTCTGAACTAGCTTTCAGTAACTGAAAGTACTCTCAGATATGTACTTTGTGTTTTTGTTATGGTGTTTATGTGCATTGTATCGAACTGATGAGGTAAGCACTTTTCAACTGATTTTTATAGTTTGTTCTTATGTCATACTGTGACACAACTGTCCCAGCGTTTGGTGCCAGCAAATATGTTTAATCTCACCACATTCTGTATGTGCCTGTCCCAAGTCAGGAGCCTGTGATTCAGTGGTTGTCGTTTGTATATCATATTTGTGTTACGTTTATTGTTTTGTACATAATTCCATTTGTTAGTTTTCTCGTTTTACATGTGTATGTTCAGGGCCTTTTATATCTTATGGGATTTGCACATTGTTGAAGTCCGTATGGTGACCTATATTTGTTAACTTCTAAGTCATATAGTCCCCGGTACAGAGTTGTCTCATTGGCATTCATACCACATCTTCTTATTTTTATATTAAATATACACAACTGACTCAGTCAGACGTATACACAACATTGCCTTGGGCATACGTCTTAATACCATTGGTTGTAACAGCTGATAAACATCAATAGCTCTGGTATACATGTAAACATCTTTGGTTAACACAAAACGTATAAACACAATTGCCTGCGGCATTCTTATAAGCACAACTGGTTGGGCAGACATTCGAACACCATTGGCTATAGCAGACGTATACACATCATTGGTTGGGGCAGATATTCGAACACCATTGGCTATAGCAGACGTATACATGTCATTGGTTGGGGCAGACATTCGAACACCATTGTCTATATCAGACGTATACACATCATTGTCTGGTCTGACGTATAAACACCATTGGTTGGGGCAGACGTGTAAACAACATTTGCTGGGTCAAACATATATTAACACCATTTGTTGTGCCAGACGTATATAAACACCATTGTTTTGGGCAGAAGTATAAACAACATTGGGTGGGTCAGGCGTATACACATCATTTGTTAGGGCAGAAGTATAAACACCATTGGCTGGGTTAGATGTATAAACACCATTTGTTGGGTCAGGCGTATAAACACCAATGGTTGGGTCAGACGTATTAAGACCATTCGCTACGGCAGACGTATTAATACCATTGGTTGTGGCAGATGTATAAACACCATGTGATAAGAAAACGGTATGCAAGGTTAGAATAGAAAGTTTAAAATAGAAACGTTAAAACGTTATTTTTTGTCATTGATATACATATTGCTGCCTTTGAAATACCCTTACTTTCAAGTTTACAATATTTGATAATGTTGTATTGACTGAAAATTGGAATATTGAGTAATATTATACTGGAGTGAATTATCTGGGTTAATCATGCAATTTGATTGTTTGTCTTTACTGGTTATATAGTCCATATACCATGTGAACAAAAACGAAGATGAGAATGGTACATAATGTTGAAATCAAGACACTCCAGTATAACATAATTGTTATTTGGGCTTCACATGAGATATGGGCTCATATTTCCTGTCAGTGCCATATATTCCCTTGGCCTGACGACTCAAGAGATATAAAAAAAAAAGTAAATAAGAGCCTATATATCCTCTGTGAAGATCCCGAAAACATTTAATAGTACAAATATCTAAGTAAAGAATGTTTCTTGTCTTTAAGAGGATTATATTTATATAAGTTCATTAAGTTAGATGACGGCCAGCAGGTGGCGGCATTTTGTATCCCTGTCAAAGATATATTGTAAATACTGATTATATAGTTAACGAAATTTGTAATGAAAGTTTGATCAAACCGTTTGATAATTAGTGTTTTCCGTAATGTTGCCCTTTACAAAGCCTAACACATGTTTCGTAATTTGTCCCTCTACAGAGCCCCTCATCTAATTCATCAGCAGTCAGTATGAATTTCGACCATTGAACTTTTGATGTTTAACACATATTCAGATGTTATAAAAAATAGGAACTTTTGTATTTGTTGGCATAACTGATGTTTCACGTTATTTGTAGATCAGTATGAACACTGATTGATTAGCTGATAAACAGGCTTCAAAACATTAATAAAAATGGCGAACGGTTAATGTCGGGCAACGTGGTTGTTAGTTTTAATTTCGAGTGTTTTCGAACTAAAGGACTGTTATACGTACAGAAAAGACAATAACACAGAATTGATTCCAGTTCATCATCAAATTACTTTTTTTACATGTTTTTATATAAATAAAATTATAGGAAGGTGTGGTACGATTCCAACGAGAAAACTATCAAATAGAGTGAAAAAGCCAATATAATCATGGGTTGGTTGGGTTGAGCATCAACGAGGTGGGAACCGGAAAAAATGATAACGAAATTATCAATAGGTTTGACCACGACAACAAAACAGAAACAACATTGCAAAGACAATATAGACTTAATACGTAATGATTGATAATCGATAATTGTATAGTGTACTGCAGCAATATAGACTTAAAACATCATGATTGATAAATGCTAATTGTAAAGTGTACTGCAGCAATATAGACTCAATACGTAATGATTGATAATCGATAATTGTAGTGTACTGCAGCAATATAGACTCAATACGTAATGATTGATAATCGATAATTGTATAGTGTACTGCAGTAATATAGACTTATAACGTCATGATTGATAAATGCTAATTGTATAGTGTACTGCAGCAATATAGACTTAAAACGTAATGATTGATAATCGATAATTGTATAGTTTACTGCAGCAATATAGACTTAAAACGTCATGATTGATAATCGATAATTGTATAGTGTACTGCAGCAATATAGACTTAAAACGTCATGATTGATAATCGATAATTGCATAGTGTACTGCAGCAATCTAGAGTCAATACGTAATGATTGATAATCAATAATTGCATAGTGTACTGCAGCAATATAGAGTCAATACGTAATGATTGATGATCGATAATTGTATAATGTACTGCAGCAATATAGAGTCAATACGTAATGATTGATAATCGATAATTGTATAGTGTACTTAGATAATTGTATAGTGTACTGCAGCAATATAGAGTCAATACGCAATGATTGATAATCGATAATTGAATGATGTACTGCAGCAATATAGAGTCAATACGTAATGATTGATAATCGATAATTGTATAATGTACTGCAGCAATATCATGCATGAGTCCAAGACATTTTTTCGACTACCCTTGCGGGTATGACTCCACGTATTTGTCCAAGTCTAACGACATGTCAGTGAAAAGTATCTGATATAAGCTAAGTGGTCTGTGAGAAAGAATGAAGGATTTCTCCTAGGTCGGGGACAGCAAAGGATACTGGAAATGTTTCAGATTATATACAGTGTTCAACTGTCGTCTACAGGGGGCACTCGTAGAGTATGCGATATAACACGATATAAAACAGCGGATAGTTGGAGAAGGGAAATGTGATCTGTGACAAAGAATGGAGAATTGGAGAAGAGGGAATATGACCTTTGACAAAGGGCGGGTTATTCAACAGTGGAGATGTGCTCTGTGACAAAGAGTAGATAATTGGAGAAGAATGGGAAAAGATACGACATGGCTGCTGTGTCGGACCACACACATTGGTCTACTGTTTTCTAAAACAAAGTTACATTAACGTTTCCCTTGAACCTGTATGATCCTCTTTCAGGACATTTGTTTAAGGTGGTACCTAACACTACAGGGAGATAACTCTGTAAAAATCAGCTAAACGTTTTAATTACGTTGTATTGTTAAGGAAATATTAAGCTTCTCAATGATCAAAATTAGTGTTTGTCAAACTGCTATATAACCAATGAAATTTTTCTGATAAAGTGGTTGGTTCAAATTTTTGGAAATTTTTATATTTTTGTCAAAGGGTCAAAGTAAACATTTTGTCAAATTTTTATGAAAATTAAACGAGCCAAATTAATATTAGTCAAGGTGTTGGGTACCACCTTAAGTCTTCAAATGTTTTGATGTATTACAAATGGTAAAATCTTATAATACCTCTTACTGTATTTAAAAGTTATAAAGCTTACAAAAGATCTGACCTTTGATCATAATCTGTAAGAATTATTATCTAATTTAAAACTAGTCCAGTAAAATCCGGGTTCGTAATTAAAACATTGATCGTATCATATTTATTTTTTTAATTGCTAGTCACGAAATTTGCCCAAAAAACGACGAACAAAGACAAAAATATGTTTGCATAAGTAAGTTAAAGGTAAAGATATTGTCTCGATTGAAATAAGTTCTTATATTATAACACAATTTTCATTCCGGTTGAAATGAAATTAATTCATACGTGGACTTTTATATTTACATAGAAGTTTTATAATGTATTAACACAGGTCCAATTTATTAATAAAACCATATAGAAAATGTTCACGAATTAGGTAGATTAACATAATGTAAAGGTACCTGACTTTTGTTAAGGACGGTATTTCCAGAAGGAAACAAAAATATACTTTATAGAACACATTGTTTTAATTTACATCTTTCAGTGCATTTATTTTTACAACAGTTTGCAAAAAAAAAAGGAAGGAACTGTCAGATTACACTTGTTTTTGGTAGTTGACACCTAAATGATTTTATAAACATATGACCTTATGACCCCTTTTGCAGAAAATATCCCAAATTGTGCATGCACTTTCACAATTTGAAACTAAATCTTATTAAGTAAACGTTATCATTAGCTATTTTAAAATGAGCTAAAAGAATTCAAAATGAAAAATTGCTACCAAGACCCATTATCGAATGTTATATGGATCTTATATACATGTATTCCGTCATTACCTTTAATCTACGAATCTGAGAATCGTCATTGTGTTATTGTACTATGGTGATTTTTTTATTCTTGTCTTTCATTTTTGCTTATGTGCTTTGTCTATATGCCTTTTTGTGTTTCTTTGTTACATATTTGTTTGTTTTTATAGTGATTGGGATTATAACACAATGTTGACTGTTGTATCCATATTTTTACATTTTTACCTTTTATGTCTGTTTGTTTTTGTTCACACATCGTTGTCAATATAAAGGAATTTTATGCGACTGTCATACTTGTAAGAGGTTTAGCTAGTTATAAAACCTGATTTAATCCACCAAAATGACTGTACCAAGTCAGGAATATGACAGTTGTTATCCATTCGTTTGATGTGTTTGAGCTTTTGATTTTGCCATTTGACTTTTCGTTTGGAATTTTCCTCGGAGTTTGGTATTTTTGTGATTTTACTTTTTTCGAAGAAAGTAGAAAAATATCATCTGCTGTGATTTCTTTTGTATCCTTCTCTGTCTTAAAGTTCTCTTCCTTAATATGGATGAAGTAATTGCCATCGGACGTTAAGCAAACGACAATCAATCAATCAGATCCAAATTAATAAAAATTCGCCATATGCTTCCGTTTCATTTGATTTTAAATTTTTGAATAACTGTTGACAAAATTACTCCCCGTCATACTCTCTTCATTGTTTAGAACGTAAATTTATCCTATATGTATTTCCTTTATGAGATATTTACGAACTTATTTGTCGCTTTATTCTAAATTATTGTTTTAATTCACGCTAGAAAATGTTTCATGATTATCCATTGTAATTATACAAATGTTTCATTAGGCTTCGTGGCTTTCTTTTCCGTAGACACTTCCGCATGACTACGTCCGCCTGATACAAATGAGTCCCGGATATTATGTTTTTGTGTTCCATTTTGTTGAGAGTCTGCTAAAGTGTTTGATTGCAGATTCATTTGATATCTGTTTCCGGTTCTATGTGTTAGTCCCGAACCGTTTACAGAAGACGATCTTGAGGTTCCAATACTGTGTAATGACGCAGCCGATGATCGATATGAACCTGTGTCACTTCCGGTTCTCTGTATTCGATACTGTTCGTTTATGTTGATGTTGAACTCTTCCCAGACATACCGAACGATATCTTGCGTGATTGCGCTTCCGGTATTATTGGACAACATTTGCAAAAGAAATATTCCATCGAATTTTAAATGGCCGTATATAAAAAGCTTCACCTTTTTATCAAGGTTACCAGTTTTCTCATCATGCACATCTATATCGTTCAACAATAAATATTTGATAATAAAATTTTCCCTTGATCGCGAAGTTAAAGCCATGATTAATGTGAATGCGAAGTTTAGAAAGGTTACAACCAAAATAAATGTCAACCAAAACCAGAGGGCGATGAAGACCTTTTCGTTGTATAGATTGATAGGAAGAACACATTGTAATGTGTAACGCTGAACATTTGTCAACTGCCGCAAATCAAAATCGCACAGCGTCACCCTTGGAAATCTTTTATGATTTAAAGCCCAATCCTTTCCCGCAAAAAACTTTTCCATAACGTCATATCCATAAATGTAGAAATCGTCTGCTAAAAATTCATTCAGAAGTATTAATTGTCCCGCGACGTTAACCAAGTACAAAAATCGAACAAATATCAAGAGCGTTATTAGGAAATTCCCATGATGTCTTCCAACTCCGAAGTCGAAAAGTGTGTTTATTCGTGTTCTAGTTCCGGACAGTATTCCTGCTCTAAGCTGTTTACCTTTATTTCTACCAGAACACCAAATATCGATATATTTTCCCAGGGATTGTAAAACTTTTTGGCGTTCAACTTCCATATCATATCCTGGAGGGAAAAAATCAGTCTGGTCCATTGGAGGCTGCCCTGCATTTGCTAAATTTATTTGATGCGTTCTTCGTGCAGCAAAAAACATTTCTGTCTGTGTGTCTTTTGCCGACGTCAGAAATTTCTTGATTCCAACGCCACATTTTTGAGACAAATATTTCCAAATCGCCCTCGGTACTTTAAATAAAAATGCCATGACCAAAAATATTAATGGTGTCCATTGATAATAATATATCTTGTTGGCTTGTCGTATCTCGTAACTCATCGGGATAGGTTTGCTCATAGGGATGTAATATGTATTAGAAATCCAACAAATATAATTTACATATTTTACCCATACATCGACATCATTAAAATTTGCATTTTCCTCGTAATCTTTGTTAAATTCTGTAGGACACCAACATTCTATAGGTGTTCCTACCAGTTCTGGCGTTCCTATGACAACGACAAACATAAACAACATCATACCAGTATAATAATGGTTGACTCGGTCAATCAAGTTGTCATCGTAGACAACTCTCTTCTGGTAACTGGCTCCAAATACTTCAAGGGTTTCGTCTAATCTGGAAAAAAAATAACAAGGATGTCAGTAAATTGTTGTGTTCATGTATACACGATTTTTTCTCGAAGAGATTACATTTTTGTTTTTTCGTATCCTAGTTTGTATTATACTGGTTCCCTGTTCTTTATTTGTTTGGCTCTAACAGATATCTTGACCAGCACAGGACGTTTGCGCTTTTTTATAGGACATTTGCGCTTCAATTCTTATGATATTAGCAGGGGTTTTTTTTGTCTAAAGGACATTTGCGCTTTTTCTACAGGACATTTGCGCTTTATCAACTTAACATTTTAGTGTTGGTGCTTTATGATTTCCTGCCTCATTAACATAAGCTGGAAAAAATTTATGTTACGATTTTCCTACTTTACATCATCATGTACAAGTTTTATTCCTACGCCACCTTGATTGTGTTTTAGTAGACAACAACCATTTATCAAATGAAAATACATGTGAATTCCTAATAACAACCATGACTCTATCTTTAAAGTCAACATGAACTTAAAACGAAAAAAATAATCGTTAATTTCGTGTGTCCGAATCGTTTTTTCTGGATTAACCTTCATCAGCAAGCAATGCTTAATCCCAAACACTTGAAAGTCTAAGGTGTACAATAGATATAAGAAGATGTGGTATGAGTGCCAATGAGACAACTCTCCATTCAAGTCAAAATTTTATAAAAGTAAACCATTATAGGTCACAGTACGGTCTTCAACACGGAGCCTTGGCTCATACCGAACAGTAAGCTTTTAAAACCCCAAAAAATTACTAGTGTAAAACCATTCAAACGGGAAAACCAACGGTCTAATCTATATAAAAAACGAGAAACGAGAAACACTTATGAACCACATCAACAAACGACAACTACTGAACATCAGATATGTATAAACAGCCGTTGGTTTAAAAGGCATTTGTTGATCTTTTCAAATCGAAACATGCCTAGATAAAAAATGACAATAGATTTCCACGGACTTTCCAGCCAATAAAATGAATTCAAGAGCAATGTAGTTTCCGTATTTAAATCGATGAAGGTGACAAATATAAGTTCTGTGACGGGATTGCTTCCCTTAGTACATGTAGTAGATACTTAGCCAGCCGTAAGCGGTTGAGCTAGGGAAGTACTTCTTGTTACGGGTAAAAATAAAAGCGCATACGTCATGTGCCCATGTTGACAATAAATGATGACACAGATACCCGTATGTTGCAAGGGAGATAACCAGCCTAGTGGTAGTATACAAAATCAGATAAAAAATCTAAATCAGTACGTAACTATGTTAAATACTAAATTCGGATTCAGTCACCATATACTAGTTCTTGATATTGATTGGATAATGAACTATAAACAAAATATAGATATGTTCTTCGGCATAATTCTTTGAATATTAAATCTTTTAATTCAAGATTATGTCATACAAAAAACATAAAATTTCACCAGTAAAATAAAATATTACTGGTGAAATGTCTCCTGGTAATTGAAATAGTGAAATGTTTCCTGATGTTTTTAACTAGTGAAATGTCTCCTGAATATTTAACTACTGAAATGTCGTCTCCTGATGATCAAACTATGGTAAATTGAAAGGTCGTCTCCTGATGATCAAACTATGGGAAATTCTCCCGATAATTGAAATGTCGTCTCCTGATTATCAAACTATGGTAAATTGAAAGGTCGTCTCCTGATTATCAAACTATTGGAAATTCTCCCGATAATTGAAATAGAAAAATGACTCTTATTCTTTTACTATTAAAATGTCTCCTGGTATTTTAACTAACGAAATGTCTCCAGCCCTGATATTTTAATAAGTGAAATGTCTCCAGACCTGATATTTTAATAAGTGAAATGTCTACTAATTATTTACCTAGTAAAATGTCTGCTTATTATTTTACTAGTGAAACATCTCTTGATTATTTAGCTTGTGAAATATCTCTAGGTGATTTTACTCGTGAAATGCATGTCTCCTGATAATTTATCAAGTGAAATGTCTCATGATAATTTAACAAGCGAAATGTCTCATGATAATTAAACAAGTGAAATGGATTAGGTAATTGTACTTGTGAAATGCATGTCTGCTGATAATTTAACTAGTAAAATGTCTTCAGGAAATTTAACTATAGTGTCTTCTCATAATTTTACTGACGAAGATTTCCTTAATGATTTACATATTTTTTTGCGGCGCATGTTTTTGGAAAGATCAATTAGTTCTTAATTTCTTGAAAACAAAATTGAACAAATATGCTGTTTCTATAGAAAACAAGGTAAAACACTGCATTGAAATAGAAAAATACTCGTCTTGTTTGTCATTGAAAAAAAATTTATTTGCTTTCATTGTACTGGGGTAAACATACCCCTCCCCGTAACAAAAGATGAATGATCGGTGCCTAAATTGACCGTAAATTTACTTAGTAAAAGAATATTACTTACAAAGTAAAGTACGGCATCCTGATCAGAAGTAAGTAAAAAATGGAGAATATATAAACTACAGTAAATGTATATCACTCTAAACAATGAAAGTACGATCAGGTCTGTTAAATCTTTTGTTTATCAATGAAATAGTTTATTGAATTGGAAGATTAACTCTATGTCCTCAGAACTTTGATTCAATATTCTATATACATAAAACTTTTATCATAATATACAAAGAAAAATATATGAACGTTTGTATTCTTGACACAGTTTCCGAATCGACTTAAATAGAGCTACTTCTTTCACATAAATAAAATCCTTTGGTTGTCTTTGATTCAATATGCTATATATATATATATATACATAATTTTTTTTATCATTATATACAAAGAAAAAATATATGAACGTTTGTATTCCTGACACAGTTTCGACTTTGACAGACCTACTTTTGGCACATAAATAAAAGTTTTTAGTCGTCTATTATTCAATATTCTATATACATAAAACTTTAAAATGATTTATAAAAATAATATATATAAAAAATTGTATTCTTGACACAGTTTTGGCTTAAACAGACCTTCTTTTTTCAGATATTAGATGGGAATGTAAATAAAAACTCAATATTTGTTAAATGGGAAACAGGAAAAAAAATATATTGTTATTCGAGTATCATTCAAAAGAATGCAAGCATAGGTTGAGAGAATGTATTTTACAAAAGTTAAGTAACAATAGTTTTATTCTAAGCCAATATGAAATATGAGTCACTGAATAAACAAATAAGGTCCTTCATTAGTAATACACCATGCTTGTGAATGAAATCATTAGATTTAAGATTTACATCGATACAAAAACCCAGTACACTAATTCACAGAAAAAATCCAACAGAATTTTAAAAAGAAGAAAACTGGTTAAAAAGATAATAGAGTTAGATCGAGGAAACAAAACTTATTTAATGAGAAATAAGAAAAACAAACTAATTCTAAAATACATATGCTAATATAAAGGGCAAAAACTGAAAATGTCTTCGTCAACTACGTAGTGCAGACTGCAAAGTTAGGGGGGGGGGGGGGTATTTCTGACGATACCAAGCGAGCAAAAACTGTCGAACTTCTATTTGTCTAGAAGTTACTGCATAGAACATAACATTTATGATAATGCCAGCTTCTTTTCATTTTCCTAAGTAGCTTTTGTGTCAAGTCTGTCTCATATGAATAAAGGAACAAATCAGAAAGAAGAGGAGAACGGATGGTTCCCACGTAAATGCCGATTGTTTGTTGAAAAACACGTCTTCCAAACGTAAGAAATATATGCTGTCAATCGAGAAATCAAACCTCGATTATGTCAGTTTCAAATTCTTTAAGCAGAGTGGTTTTTTTTTACAAAGTATGATTTCTCAATATTTGTATCTAAGCTTGTCATTTTTTTTTTTGTGAAACAAAGTAAACACAAATTTTTTCAATTTGTGTTTAAGTTTAGAATGAGGAATACTCGTGTAAAGTGTAGAAAAGTCAAAGGAAGATCAAGTTCTTCATCTTTGGTTGAAATGTCAATGGAACATATAACAGAGCTATGGTTATGTAGGATTTACTCTTTTCTAAGTGTCGTGGGGAAGTTTCTAAGTTTGTCAATACCTTATTCCTTTATCAAGCAGTTGATGTAAGATAAAATGGGATTTTCACACAAAATCGATATCGCTGTTTTGCGCTTTATCTGGGGGGATAACAACATATTCGTCATTAAGATAGCACATGTGCTTAGTAACATTTGAAAGATTGATATAGCATGTGTATTCAAAGATCCGTTCGGTTTTTCAAAATTTGAGTTTGTATCAACAAACTCACTGCCCATTTGGAAAGATTTTCTGCATCTCTTCTTTTTTACGTTTATAGATATAAGAAGATGTGGTATGAGTGACAATGATACAACTCTCCATCCAAGTCTCAATTTGTAAAAGTAAACCATTATAGGTCAAAGTACGGTCTTCAACTTGGAGCCTTGGCTCACACTGATGACTTAGGACAGGTGCAAACATGGCCGTAAAACCCTTATTTATAATGATACGAAAATATTTGGGCATCACAGATTAACATTCCAGTGGTAATCAATCACCAATCTCGTTATATTATAGTGAAAAAGGCGTTTCATAAGAATCAATACTTTTGATTGTGTAATAACATTCCAAAATTAAATCAAAATTAACATTCACGACTGCACCGATGGATGAGTTTGTTTGATTGTTTGATTGTTTGTTTGTTTGATTGTTTGATTGATTATTTTTTATTTTATATCCAGTGGCAAATATTGCATTCATAGATATAAGAAGATGTTCAGGACGAGGACAAACAAATAATTAATACAATATGTATATCCTGTATAGGGTGCGATCGGGATGAAAATCTGACATGGTATATCGGAAAGGGACAGAAATTTAGCCTTACAACAGTACACCTACAGACCCATCAGATTGTTGTTACAATGGTTCTTTTGCATACAGGGATCGTGGTGAGGCTTTAATAAGCATGGAAAAGTTGTAAAGTAAAATGCATTAATACACTCTAAGCAATTACTATGCTTTCTATTTATTGAAAGCATTTTTCTGAGAAGACAAAGTTTCGCTTAAACACTGTAATAGTGTTAAATAACAGTCCCTCCGACATCTCTGGGTCTGATTATATGAAATATTAGGAAAACTGAAATTTCAATGATTTATCAAATTTTGAAGTGTGGTAGATTTTGAATGTGATATAATTTTTAGAAAGAGGGGCGAAAGATACCAGAGGGACATCCAAACTCATAAATCGAAAAATAAACTGACAATGCCATGGCTAAAAAAGAAAAAAGCACAGACAAACATTAGTACACAAAACACAAGATAGAAAACTAAAGACTAAGCAACATGAACCCCACCAAAAACTGGGGGTGATCTCAGGTGCTCTGGAAGGGTAAGCTGATCCTGCTACACATGTGGCACCCGTCGTGTTGCTCATGTCAGTATAAACCCGGTAACAAGTCTAATTCGGTAGGTCACATTCGTGAAAAGGGGACGGGAAATGCATTCTCTTGTGAGTCTAAAGCTAACGGGTTGCCTCCATTACAATTCTTGAAAATGTCATGTATAGATATGTAGATATTTACCTTCTTATGATTACATTCTTGTTCTATTAACAATCATACTTCATATGCTCATCTACTTATTAAACGTGTTTACATGTACTTACATTTTCATGCCCATTTTTATATCTCATATAAATATCGGTATGTGATAATACTTATATTTAACATTTTATAATTTAGCTTCAATAGTTTTTTAAATATTTGTATAATTTATCCTTCGTACAATACCCTTTCTATATACGACATTATCTGTTTTCAAAACAACTTTTAATGTGTATACTTAATACCAGAAAAAGAGGTTATATTAATTCACACACACAAAATAAATCACGCACAATATCAAGGACAAGTCACGAACATGAATATGAACAAGTCGCACACTGAAATGCATTAGGTTGTGTTTAAGATAAGAGGAAACGTCAGTGAGACAGCATTCTAACCTTGTTTCATAGTTTCTTTTTACATTTGAAATTATTCAGGCTATGGATACTTGTAACATAAACAACATATCTATCCAGCCCTATCATAGAGCATAGGCCTAGTTCTATTCCTGCACCATTGTACCGTTAGTGCTATTTTATATATATGTATAATGATTGCCAATGAGATAACTAACAAGAGTCAAAAATACCTGGTTGTAAGAAACTACACAGGTTATTGTACTGCCTTTAATAATGAGCAAGACCCATTTAACATTTATAAAAGGACCCGATTTGAAAAAATGTGAAAAAATTCAAACGAGAAACCACTTTTGGTTTATAACAAAACAACAAACGAAAATCAAATATGACAGACAGCAATGAACAACAACCTTCGGAGGTGTGTCACTTCAATTATTGTGGTTTGAGCAGCTACCCTACCCTTTTATATATATTTTGAATAGCAAAATGCATATCCTATCATAAAGAGGGTAGTAAAGGGTTATTTTCGTGCAACGTGTTTTGCCATTTTTATTTCACGTGCAGCAGTGAAAAAGGTTCGTTATTCACCGTGTTTCGTGAAATCGGTAAAAAGATCTATGTGCAAGAAATTTTTAATTGTTCGTTCATCGTGAAATGGCAATTTTATTTCGCTTTCTTCCGTGCAGATACCCCCCCCCCCTTTTACGCCCCACCATAAAGTTTGACTAACAATATACCTTATAGTATCATGAGTACGGATGGAGACTGAGATAATAGATTTGACAAATTTCTGATGCATTGACGACTGTGATGGCATCTGAGAAAGAAGAAAAATCTACATCTGATTAGTTTCAGAAACTTATGATTCAATCAGAAACCTTGTCATATATTTCATCTCAATTTTCGGCCTTAAATTATATAAGGTCAAGCTTGAAATAATGATCTATTCCAGCGACTTATCCAAGAACCTCATTACATAGCAAGAACCACTGAATTACAGGTTCATTACTAGGGACAGACGCATACAGAATTTTGCAGAACATTTTTGTGAGCGCTCACCCTTCCCCTAGCCTGTTAGTTATCTCTACACACGTTTGTATTAAAAGTGATATAGATAATACAACTACTTTACTACACATACATACACTTTTAGAGTCATATTTTCACGTTATTCTTCCTGATGTGTTAATGGTGGATCATCTTTCTATACATATATATGTGCGACTTTAATTTTGGCATTTAACACTCAAATAATTATGTGTTAAAGTTTTTTGTTATTTCCAAATATTTCTTTTATGGTTTTTAATCGAGGATATAATTGTTTTTTTTAATCTGTTGTTGAAGGTCATTGTGACATTTAAAAAACTAAACAAATAATCTAGCTCCTGTTTGTTGAAATGTAGTCGCCAGAAATATTGGCAGTTAAATAATGATATATTAATATTATTAGATTTCATGCTGACTGAAAGTTTTCACCAGAAAAGATCCAGATTCATGTACGACTAGCAATTAATTTGTGTATAAGGCCACTGCAAAATCATTCATAATTCTTCGAATTCGTTCGCTCCAAAATGTTGAAAACCTAAATACAAATGTTACCGCCATTTCTTCCAGACTTTCTGAACTTTTGCTTCATTTTGAAGAAATCAACAATTTCATTTTTAAAATGCCCGCCCGTGAATTCACAGAAGAAGAAAATTTGGTGTTAAAATATTTCTAGCTTCTGAAATTAGAAGTTAAAAAAAAATCGACTTTCCGCTTACCAAATTTCTAGTATCGTTTGTGTAATATTTAATTCGATTTTTTTTTCGATCGCTCGCTCCAATATTTGTCCATAAAAGTCCGAATTACAAGTATTTAATTTGGAGTGGCCTTACAGGTACACATGTAATATAATAAAGCTTTGAATGTATTTTAAATTCGATACAAGATAACGATATACATTGATAGTTTCTATAAGGTAATTGACACCACAGTACCCTCCACGAGTAAACAAATATTTCACAACTATACGGTTATAAGATAGGAAAACATTTAAAGTGGAATATGAGAGAAAACATTTTGAGTGGAACATGAGGGAGCACATTTTGAGTGGAATATAAGAGAAAACATATGAGAGAAATATGAGAGAAAACATTTTTAGTGGAATATGAGAGAAAACATTTTGAGTGGAATATGAGAGAAAAAATATTAAAGGAATATGAGAGAGCACATTTTGAGTAGAATATGAGAGAAAACATATTAGAGGAATATGAGAGAAAACATTTTGAGTGGAATATGAGAGAAAACATTTTGAGTGAAATATGAGAGAAAAGACATAGTGAGTGGAATATGAGAGAAAAAACATATTAGAGAAATATGAGAGAGCACATTTTGAGTGGAATATGAGAGAAAACATATTAGAGGAATGTGAGAGAAAACATTTTGAGTGGAATATGAGAGAAAACATATTAAAGGAATATAAGAGAGCACATTTGGAGTGGAATATGAGAGAAAACATATTAGAGGAATATGAGAGAAAACATTTTGAGTGGAATATGAGAGAAAACATATTAAAGGAATATGAGAGCACACATTTTGAGTGGAATATGAGAGAAAACATATTAGAGGAATATGAGAGAAAACATTTTGAGTGGAATATGAGAGAAAACATTTTGAGGGGAAAATGAGAGACATTGACACAGCTTATTGTAGTTTGAACTCTTCTTTACACAGAACCTTTATGTACTTACATATAATCTCATAGTTAAGACGTTAGACGGTGTCCTTTTTCATATTTTTTTTGCCAAATGGTGGTGTTGGTATGTTTGTGGAAAAGGGGGGGGGGGCAAAACATTTAGTTCGGCTCAAAAGAGGGCAGCAATTGATTGCACCCCCTGTCCCTAGCTCCTACGCCAGTGACAGTTTTCCTCGTTAGAGTATACAAACGGCAATGAACTTGATTTATGGTCGGAGCTGTCTTGTTGACTTATTATCTCCTTTCATTTGGATGTCAGAATAGAATAGGTGTGATATGTAGACAAGTAAACCATGAACATTATGTCCATGTCAGGCGAACTCTATCAAACGTAGACGAGTAAATCATGAACATGAGATCAATTTCAGGCGAACCCTATCAAACGAAGACAAGTAAACCATGAACATGAGGTCAATGTCAGGCGATCTCTATCAAACGTAGACAAGTAATCCATGAATATGAGGTCAATGTCAGGCGAACCCTATCAAACGTAGACAAGTAAACCATGAACCTGAGGTCAATGTCAGGCGAACCCTATCAGACGTAGACAAGTAAATCATGATCATGAGGTCAATGACAGGCGAACCCGACAAGAAAACCACGAAAATGAGGTCAATGTCAGGCGAACCCGACAAGAAAACCATGAAAATGAGGTCAATGTCAGGCGAACCCTATAAAATGCAGATAAATAAATCATGAAAATGAGGCCAATGACGGCGAACCCGACAAGAAAACCATTAAAATGAGGTCAATGTCAGGTGGACCCTATCAAACGTAGACAAGTAAATCATGAAAATGAGGTCAATGTCAGGTGGACCCCATCAAACGTAGACAAGAAAACCATGAACATGAGGTCAATGTCAGGTGAACCCTATCAAACGTAGACAAGTAAACCATGAACATGAGGTCAATGTCTGGTGAGCCCTATCAAACGTAGAAATGTAAACCATGAAAATGAGGTCAATGTCTGGTGAGCCCTATCCAACGCAGACAAGTAAATCGTGAACATGAGGTCAATGTCAGGCGAACCCTATCAAACGTAGACAAGTTAAAAAAGAAAATGAGGTCAATGTCAGGCGAACCCTATCAAACGTAGACAAGTAAATCATGAACATGAAGTGAATGTCAGGTGGACCCTATCAAAACGTAGACAAGTAAACCATGAACATGAGGTCAATATCAGGTGAACACTATCAAATGTAGACAAGTTAAAACAGAAAATGAGGTCAATGTCAGGCGGACCCTATCAAAACGTAGACAAGTAAACCATGAAAATGAGGTCAATGTCAGGCGAACCCTATCAAACGTAGACAAGTAAACCATGAAAATGAGGTCAATGTCAGGCGAACCCTATCAAACGTAGACAAGTAAATCATGAACATGAGGTCAATATCAAGTGAACCCTATCAAACGTAGACAAGTAAATCATGAACATGAGGTCAATGTCTGGTGACCCCTATCAAACGTAGACAAATAGACCATAAAAATGAGGTCAATGTCTGGTGAACCCTATCAAACGTAGACAAGTTAAAAAAGAAAATGAGGTCAATGTCAGGCGAACCCTATCAAACGTAGACAAGTAAATCATGAACATGATGTCAATATCTGGTGAACCCTTTCAAACGTAGACAAGTTAAAAAAGAAAATGAGGTCAATGTCAGGCGAACCCTATCAAACGTAGACAAGTAAATCATGAAGATGAAGTCAATGTCAGGTGGACCCTATCAAAACGTAGACAAGTAAACCATGAAAATGAGGTCAATGTCAGGCGAACCCTATCAAACGTAGACAAGTAAATCATGAACATGAGGTCAATATCAAGTGAACCCTATCAAACGTAGACAAGTAAATCATGAACATGAGGTCAATGTCTGGTGACCCCTATCAAACGTAGACAAGTAATCCATGAAAATGAGGTCAAAGTTTCTATCTATCTGTTACAGTTTTCAAGATAATAGGCAATAATGGGAAAAATCCTCATCAAAGGGCAATAACTTCAATAAGGAGTCGACTAACGATTTTGGTCATGTTGACTTATTTGTAGATCTTGTCTTGTTGACCATTTTTACCTTGTACTGTTTCTATCTATATATTATAGTTTTAAAGATAATAGGCAAAAATGCAAAAAATGGTAAAAATCATCATTAAAGGGCAATAACTCTAATAAGGAGTCGTATGCCGATTTTGGTCATGTTGAATTATTTGTAGATCTTGTCTTGCTGATCATAATTGTCTTTTAAATTCTCTGTCTATCTATTATAATTTTCGAGATAATAGGAAAAAATTCTAAAAATGGTAAATTTGTCATTTAAGGGCAATTATTCCTATAAGAAGTTGTCTGACATTTTCATGTTTATAGACTATTGGTAGGCCTATAGCTCAACATTCTGAACATGTTTGCTCCTGTCAGAATTTCTCTATTTATAGGGGTTTTCAAAATAATAGGCAAAACTTGCATTTTACACCTATGTTCAATCTATTTTTAGCCATGACAGCCACCTTGGTATGCAGGCGGGGTCATCGGACACGTTTTGTAAACTAGATACTCCAATGATGATTGTGGCCAAGTTTAGTTAAATTTGGCTCAGTAGTTTCAGAGGAGAATATTTTTGTAAAAGTAAACAGACGATGACAGACGACGGACGCAAAGTGATGAATAAAATCTCACTTGGCATATTGGCCAGGTGAGCTAAAAAAGAATCAAAACACAAAAACTAAACATTGACAAAAGAACCATGAAAATGTGGTTATGGTCAGATGATAACGGCTAGACCGACATGTACACCTTACAATCATTATATACACCAAATATAGTTCACCTACTGCTTTAGCTTATAGTATCTGAGGAATGGACCTAATCATGTAATTTAACCTTGATCACTGATAAAGGAAATGAGGTTGAGGTCAGTTGATCCCTGTCTGACTAACATGTAGACATTGCAAGGAACCCATATACAAAATATAGCTATCCTATTACTCATAATAAGGGAGAAATTCACATGGCAAAAAAAAAAAATCTTTTCAAGCAGTTGCTGAACCATGAAAATGAGGTCAAGGACAATTGACATATGACGGAAACTTCGTAACATAAGGTATCTGCATATATAGTATGTTCCACTTTCTGAAATATAAAGCTTTTTACAAATAGTGTATGCCTCACATACTGTAAGGAAAGTCACAGGCAAGAAAAAAAAACAAGACCATGGGTCTAAGGAATTATTCTGAAAGAATCACACCTGTGCCTAGATTCCTCACCTGGTCAAAACATGGCCAGCTTGCTAATTGGGACTTTTATATGCACACACCGTAGTAACTCTTTGTTTGCTGATAATTTTTGCAATTTACATTGTTAACTTCCCTCATTAAGATTTTTTAGATGACAGCAAACATATTAAAAATCAACATTTCAGAGGCAATAACTCCAAAACAGGTTCTCAAATTTTCAGAGTAGATAGATCTTGTCATGCTGATCATTTTTTCAGTTTATACTTTTAACATAGCTCAAATAGTTTTAAAAAAATAACAGAAAAATTAATGTGAAAAATGTATATTTCAAGGGTAATTACTCAAAAAATAGTTTGGCAGATTTTTCAGAAACTTTTAGGGTTAATAGAACTTGTCGTGCTGATTATTTTTTTTGCAATTGACTCTATAAACCTAGCTCCTACATTTTCCATGATAACAGCAAAAAACTGCAAACAAGAGTGCACATGCTAAAATGTCTCGCCTGCTTTACTGACCATTGATTTTATGTTGCTAGTGCTAAGTATAAAGTTTTACTACAAGTATCACATAAACTTAACATGATGCAAGAAAATAAGGTCAAGGTCAGATACAAAAAAAGCCAGAAGTACATGTTCACCTTACAATCATTCCATACACCAAATATAGTTGACCTTTTTCTTATAGTATACAAGAAACAAACCAAATTATGAAAACTTTATATCAACCAATAAACCATGAAAATGAGGTAAAGGTAAGATGAACCCTGTCAGACAGATATAGACACCATACATTAATTCCATGCATCAAATATAGTTGACCTATTGCATATAGTATCTAACAAACAAACTTAACCAGGAAAACTTAACATTGACCAATGAACCATGAAAATGAAGTCAAATCAGATGATACCTGCCAGACAGACATATATATACTTTACAATCATTCCATACACCAAATATTGTTTACCTAAAAACTGACCAAAACACAAAAACTAAACATTGAACAATGAACTGTGAAAATGACGTCAAAGTCGAATAAAACCTACCAGACTGACATGCACATCGTAAAATATATCCATACACCAAATATAGTTGACCTATTGCATATAGTATTAGAAAAAAAGACCAAAACACAAAAACTTAACTTTAACCACTGAACCATGAAAATGAGGTCAAGGTCAGATGACAACTACCAGATGGACATGTATACCTTACAACCATTCCATACACCAAATATAGTTGACCTAATGCATACAGTATTAGAAAAAAAGACCAAAACACAAAAACTTAACTTTTACCACTGAACCATGAAAATGAGGTCAAGGTCAGATGACACCTGCCAGTTGGACATGTACACCTTACAATCATTCCATACACCAAATATTGTAGACCTATTGCTTATAGTATCTGAGATATGGACTTGACTACGAACACTTAACCTTGTTCACTGATCCATGAAATGAGGTCAAGTTATCCTATTACTCATATTAATAAAGAAATTAACATTACAGAAAATCTCAACTTTTTTTTTTAAGTAGTCACTGAACCATGAAAATGAGGTCAAGGTCAATGGACATAAAACAGACGGAAACATTATATATAAAGGCATCTATATACAAAGTATGAAACATCCAGGTCTTTTACCTTCTGAAATATGAAGATTTAAAGTAATTAATTAATGTCGCCGCCACTGATCACTATCCCTATGTCTCGCTTTCTGAGACAGAAATCGCAGGCTCAACAAAAATGGATATTTCAGGGGCAACAACTCCAAAACAGATTTTTTTCCAATTTTGAGGGTAGATACATCTTGTCATGCTGACCATTTTTGCATATACTCTTTCTACGTAGCTTTTGAAACAATGGCAAGAAAATGTCCCCAAAATGTTTTAAATCAACATTTCAGGGGCGACAACTTCAAAACAGGTGGAAAGATTTTGCAAAAACTTTTAGAGTAGATAGAACTTGTTGTGCTGGCTATAGTTTAGAGATAATAGCCAAACCTGTAGTCCTTTGTTGTAGTCTGACCCCTATGTTGTAGATATAGTAGCATTGTTGGTTGATCAACCTAGCTGGACAAAAGACATCCAACAAATGAAGAACACAAACTTTGGTTTGAATCCATTGAGCAGATTTAGAAGAGCAGATTTTGAAAAAAAAATACAAAGTCCTTTGGGCCAGGTGAGCTCAAAACTCTAGACAAGAGTAATCCTTAAACATTTCTACAAAGGTAGAGTTATTTCCCCTCACCTAACAGGTAGAGTTATTTCCCCTCACCTAACAGGTAGAGTTATTTCTCCTCATCTAACAGGCAGAGTCATTTCCCCTCACCTAACAGGCAGAGATATTTCCCCTGAGAGATGAACTAAAAAAGTCATATAATATATTTAATTTCTTTAATTATGAGTTCATTTGCAAGCACTTTTTTGTTGCATATTGGCATAACATAAAATGATCACATGATAAACATGTTACAATACAAAGTTCATCACAGGTCACATGTCTCCATGGTAATTTGCATATTTATAGGGATACAATGACTACAGTATATATATATCTAACAAATAAATGTCAACTTAAAAAGTCATATGGAGTTTTAAGATTATGAAAGATTTTTTTGAAAGTATCTTTCATCCAAGTTTTATGTAGATTGTGAGTTACCAATAATTCAGCAAATTACCAAAAGTAGAGACAACAAAAGCATAAACAACAAAGGACCACCAGCAGTCATAAAGATTCAAAATATACAGAACTAGTAATATTACAAAAAAATATATAATTTATCATAGTGACAAAAATGAGATTTCTGTCCTGACATCACAGACTAAACAGGCAGAGTTATTCCTGACCTGACACAACAGGCAGAGTTATCCCCCCTGAGATCATATTAAAGCTTTGTTTATCGTATTAAATATATATAATTTAAAGCATTCAAAAGATGCAGATTGATATCATGAAAATGATGAACTAAACATTCCAAAAACATAAAATTGGAAAATAAAATAAATATCCATAAGCTTACAAAGTTAAGGCCATTATAAAAATTCAGCAAATGTTTGGTGAAATGACACTTATATCTTAGTAAATTGCCAATTTTATACAATATCAATTCAACAAATATTTAAAGGCCAGTCTTGTTTTTCCTGAAACCAATTAACATCAAGAATCTTCCAAGATTTTGAATAAACTTAAAAAAATGTATAGTTTTGACAATAATATAGCTCGTTTCAAATGCTTTAAAATATAATTATTTCTTCTTCATTTCCTGGAAAGCACATCAATAGAAAATAAATTCTTCAGCAGTAAAAATCTGGACAATATGTTTACATCACTAAGATATACATCTTTGATACAAAAATACCATAAATATAAGGTGGAGTTATTTCCCCTGACACAAAAGGCAGAGTTATTTCCCCTGACACAAAAGGCAGAGTTTTTTCCCTGACATAATAAAAACCATATAAACGCCATTCAAATGCTTTGAAGTACTTGCAAAAAAGCATTCTTCTCAAGGGGGATAACTTTGCCTTTGTGTAAGTGGGAATAACTCTATTAGATACAAATTTACATCTTGAATGCACAAATATACAGACACTAAAATATAAACTTAAAATCTTTTCCGATATGAAATTTAGAAATATATTTCAAAATCTACCATATAAATTAATATGATAATAGAACTATATATAAATGCCACTGTTTTCTCACAAACATATAATTTTTATACATTCCCGACACTGAAAGTATTGCTGTATAGATAGCATGAAAGAAAAAAAGAAAAACAGCAGCTTGCACAAAAAAGCGTGTACCCATGCAAACTGTTTTGAGTCATGACAGCCTGCAGAAAAATCCTCACTTAAAGCATCTTTTCTCCAGTTATCAAGTCAATTTCATATTGTAGAAATAATTACATATCTTGATATATATCTTTTTATAAGTATGTATTGTTTCCTAGTGATATTTGGATATTGTAACTGTGTTAAGACAGCAGCAAAATAAACAAAAAATCTTTATACTATCACCTCTCAGTTATACATTCTATAGACATATAGACATAACTGTCTCTCTCTGTAGCAGAACTTAAATAAGGTACAGCTATATGTATAGACACTTTAACTCTCTCTCTCTATCTTTCTATCTCAAGAACTAAGCTCAAAGATATACATCATAGAAATACTAACATCAACAAACAAGCAGAACAATATAACAAACAATAGTACACACAAATATTGCAACAAACAGCATCATTAAGGGGAGAGAAGCACCATTAATTTATCAATGAAGAATACGGGAACTTAACTTTCTTTATGGAATCTATTTATAGCTGTTTCATTATTTACATTTACATTGTATTTATAAGCATGGTTTCACAATACTATGAAAATCCTTATACGAAAATGTATTTTTCCCAATGGTTCTATTTCTGACATTCTTGTACAAACAAAATAGCTAAAATAAGACAAATGTAAAAAAATCAATAATTTTACAGTAGTTTTATTAATAATTACAGGTAAAAGTTACTATCACTTTTGCTGTCCTGTTTTTTTTATAAAGAATAAATCTGTCAACAAAATTTAACATGTATTTTATGTTTATTTTCCAAATAACTGCCTAAACCCCAGTGAAAGCATTTTGTTTTTAAAAATAAATTACAAAATTATCAACAAATTCTACAAGTCTAACTGTATTTTGGTTTGTGTCAGTTACATGGTTTAGAAATGAATGAGTTTCCAAAAAATGAAAATGCTTTGTTTGGAAGACTATATATTACTACATGATGATTTGAGCATCGGAAAAGTATCACATGACTACGGGAAAAGCAATGGGACGTTTCTTCTGTATCACATGACAGGGAAACTCTGTCTGATTTTGATCAAACACTGGAAGTACATAATCTTCTGTTTGTAATTAAACAGATTAGTCACATGACTTAACTGTCAATGTAAATTAGTCACATGACATAACAGTCAATGTAAATGAGTCACATGACTTAATTGTCAATATAAATTAGTCACATGACTTAACTGTCAATGAAAATTAGTCACATGACTTTATTGTCAATGTAAATTAGTCACATGACTCAATGTAAATGCCTCAGTAACAAGTTGTATGACATTGATATAAATGCAGAGTACTTTAGGCTATCTCAATGCTTGTTTATGATAAATACTTGATGAATGTGAAGGATTTTCTTGATCTTAATCTAATATTGCACACAAAAAGGTTCACCTCACTGTTTTTAGTCACTATCATCTAAAACCGTCAATGGGAATAAAGACCACAAAATGATGCATTCTGGGTCATTGTCTTAAACATCCAACAGGAATCAAGACTACAAAATGATGCATTCTGGGTCATTGTGTAAAAGTCTTTTTTATCATCAATAAATTCAACATGTGTATAAGTTGTACCATCATGGGAACATCATTACGATGTTTTTTATTCTCTTTGTATTTGTATCATTCTTAAGAAGGCAAAACCGTGTTTAACTAATTATTCTCTATGCCCTTGGATCATTCTTAAGAATGTAGATATGTAAAGTGATGACCTTTATTTTTAAGAATCACTGGTATGTTTTAATTTTGTCAACCATTTTCAAAAATATATTTGAAACTTCTGAGTAACACAGATGTTTTCAATTCTGTTTCGCATAAATGCTTAAAAAACATTGATGAATCTAGTGTCTGTTACAAACTTTTTAGTGACTTAGACCAGTTACATTCTTTTTCAACCTGATTTGTTCTAAATGCCCTTTACACTTCCTGAGTAACGAAGTTGTTGTATGGTTGTCATCTTCTCAAACAAAACTGGACAAAGCTACTATCACAATTACTGGAGAAAGACATGGGTAGCATCTACCACTTTTTACTTGTATGTCCTAGTCTCATTAAAAGAGTCCAACATCCTTTTTTAATGCATGTTGTTTCCATGCAGGCAGTGCATAAAATTCTTCTTTTGTCATCTGTAGAAACTCCTACAAAACAAAACCTGAATTATTAACAATTTCTTCAAAAGTTATTTTTGTCAGCTTGTCATCTGACATGACATTTGATTAAATTTGAAATGTCAACAAGATTAAAGTAAGATGATGTGGTATGATTGCCAACAAGACCATCCACCAGAGATCAAAGGATAAGATATAAGTATCCAAAGGTTATAAGTGTTCACAACTGGATAGCAATAAATGTTAAGTTATGGTTAAATTTATTAACAAGAGTGCACATTCTGAAATGTCTGCGTGACTTATCATGATTGAATTCATGTTGTAAAGTATCATCAAACTATTGTCTGATGAACAGTCAAAACCACAAAAACTAAACATTGAAAATGAGGTCAAGGTTATATGAACCCTGCCAGACAAACATATAGACTCTTCTATAATAAAAAGGAGATGAGAATGAACAGCAAGCCAACACCTTCAACATTACAAAATCTGATATTTTCCATATTTTCTTCAGTATGGATATTTTACCTCAAATTCATCATCTCCAAGATAGGATTCAAGACGTAAAGCATCAACTCCTTCTGGTAGAGGGCGTTCTTGTAGCTCTTCAAAAGTATAAAGAGTTTGCATCATCTTTTCTAATATTTCTTCTAAAGGAGTTAACTCATTGTCCTTTTTACCATCCTGTAAAACAGAAATAAAAATAAGTGCTCCTGTTAAAGGTTGATTAATTTACTGACAGGGGTCAAACTGAATTAACTGTAAGCATACTTTAAAAAAGTTTTTAAATCTGTTCCCATAGTGGTAAGAGTGTGAAGATTTTTGTTTAAACAGCTGCTCTTAGTATTTTTAGCAACCACATGTATGACCTTGATCTCTGACCTGCTTACGTCAAAATTATATATAGGCTTCATCCATTTCATACTATCATCAACTTGTATAAGTTCGATTAAAATCCAGCAAGTTTGTTGTAACATTCAAAGTCAGATAGAGCTTGCCACTAACTTCTAAGATTAATAGAGATATAGAGCTTACTAGTTACTCCCCAAAGGTACGTGTATTTCAAATTTCTCCAACTTATAAATTCGAACCTGTCATGAGAAACTGTACGAAAGTATAGAAATGACTATAACCCCAAACCCTTTCACCCCTGATAAAGTGTGTTTGACACATCATTTGTTAACTGACCTTGAGGTTGAGTTCCCTGGCTGTTCTGTTCACCTCCCAGTAAGGAAACAGATTAGTAAACTCTAATGGTTCCAGTCCAGCAAACACAGCATACGATTTTAAGGGATTATCTGGTGATTTAACTGAAATGATAACAAAAAGTCATTCAAACACATTTTTCTTTCATATACACAATTCTGTACTTCTTGATATTATCCATAACTCTACTTTGTCTTGTTTATATTCATTTACTTATTTTGAAGTTGCAACACACACATACAATTTTACATAATTAGGAGGATACATGTGCCTTTAACATTTTTTTCTGTAATCCATTAAAAATCAAATTTGCATGTAAATGATGTGTTAATTTGTAATGTATTGTGGAAAACGAATATATTTTTAAGACTTCGCCTTGAGAATAAATTATGAGATAATTAAATTATATTCCACAGAAATGAGGAATTTGTCCCATATAATGCTTCACACTTTATATGATGTTATTTTCTATAATGCTCCCAAGTGCTGAGGACTTTATCCTCTAAAATAATCCATGCTAATGAAGACTTTATCTCAAGTATTGAGGAATTTATCCTCAATAATAATTCACGCTAATGAAGACTCTCCCAAGTATTTAGGAATTTATCCTCTATAATAATCCACGCTAATGAAGACTTTATCCCAAGTATTGAGGAATTTATCCTCTTTAATGCTCTGACTGAATATTTACCTTTACAATATTCTATTGCTGTCTGTATTGCACATTGCCGATCAACATTATACTTGGCCTGAGCTGACCCTGTCTGGACGTTCTCCACTTCCGACGTTCCTTCCGGCCACCACCCATGCCACAGATACACAACATCTCCACTGTCTAACATGAACAACTCTGAAAAAGAAAATATTCAGAAAATTTCTTCAGGAACAAAATCCAACGCATCCAATAATTATTTCTACAATTCAGATTTGTCCACTTTATTGAATACAGACAAGCTATTGCTCTTAATAGGTCATTTCATTTGATTATAAGACCTTGATATTTAGCCCTTTATGAGAGATATCTCTTATTATAAGTAAGATATTGCAGTCAAAATAATTAAAGATTCACACCAATCCATCTTGAATAGATTGTGGCTTGATATATTTGGTAGTACCCAGAACTTATTCAAAATTTGTCTCAACTGAAGGAGATTTTTAACATGTCATATGGCATGGGGACTTGTCCATTTAACCTTTAGATGTCTATTTCGATTAGTTTTGAGTTGTTGGCTTGCTGTGTCAATGATGTTTACCCAACATCTCATTTCATTCACACTGATATTAACCACACTAGCTACAACATATATATTGTGATTTTAATCCTCTAATCTTACCTGGCTGAGAAGTCCTGTATATATCTGATTGTAGAACAGGGAATGGACTGACTAGATCTGGTACCCTAGTGGGATTAAGAATTTCCTGAACATCGAATGTCCCCGACACACTGGTCATGTGAAACAATCTGATTGACTGAGAATCTTTAGATACTGAAAGAAAGAACAAGAAAATCTTGGTGATAAAAATCAGAATAATTAGAATTTCAAATCAATTAAATACTTGCGGGGCAACAAATTGATCACAACTTACAACATCTTTTGAAAAAACTGGGCAATTTGCATGATGTATGTAGACCTAGACATTGAATATCAAAAGACTTGTGTAAAATAGTTTAAGTTCCAGAAATAATTGTAAGTTATTCATAACAGATTCCAAACAATATTAGCTGGGTTTTTTTTTGTGAATGCAAAAAATTACTGTTTTCCATGTAAGATGATATGTGGGAGTTTAAAGCATTTCTTCCTAGAAAGTGCCTCAATTTTTGAAATGTCCATCTTTTATCTTTCTGCATGGAGAGGGTGTTTTAAAATATTATATATTTGAATCAATAAAAAAATATTAAGCAGTTATTTGCAGTAGAGGGGAAGTAACTCTAATTTGAAGCAGGAATGCTTGTACCTGTTGACTGTGAAGATTTGATGACTAAATGATATGTTCTATTATTTCAATGTTTAAAAAAGAAGCATCCATATATCTATAACTTCCCAATATTATTATCAAAATAAGACATTTGCACACCTGGTAACAGCGATGGGTAAGATGATCGATCGTTACGTGTTATAATGCTCACCTGTTAACAGTGATGAGTAAGTTGATCGATCGTTACGTGTCACATTCATAACTCTCCAGAAATCTAATGATTCTTTTCCTTCCTCTATTTCTGTCATAGCTATGGAAGCCTGTTTGTTCAATCCTACTTCTAATGCACACCTGCAATTACAATTTTTATTTATTCATAAATTATAAACTATTAGCTTTTTCATGTTGCTCAGTCTTTAGTTTACTTGATCTGATTTAAATGCAGATCCTATGTCTAAGCTCTAAGATCTGACAACACTCTGTTTTACTTTCTCTTCCTATAACTTTTACATCAGCCAGAGAAATTTCAGCCTTCAAGTTTTTGAAGGTGTGTATTAATCTGACAAAACCAGAGGATCCCAAAAGTACTATTGTTGTGACTGTGCTTAAACTTACATATATATTTTCCAATATCCCGAAAAAAAAATACCCAAAATACTAACCTATTTTTGAGTTTGTTAGCTGCTGTCACCGCCAGGTTCTGTGTATGTTTAGGAGACTGACAACCGTGCCACACATACAATTTCCCCGTGTGAATGTTCAACAATAAAAATGAAGCCCTACTCCTCAAGCTTGATATATCAGCCGACACTTCTATCAAACATGTCTCGTCTTCTAAAACGTTTCTAACACAGTAACATTTCCACGGTCCTTGAGTATTAGTGGATTCTTCCTCACGTTTACCGATATGTATTAATGTTTCTCCGTTAAATAAATTCAGGAAACATGGTATCTCCTTCCCTTCATCAACCCGAATCTGGAGAATAATAAGACTAAAGTAAAATCATGTGTATAATATAATATAAGAAGATGTGGTATGAGTGCCAATGAGACAACTCTCCATCCAAGTCACAATGTATAAAAGGTTAACAATTATATGTCAAAGAACGGCCTTCAACACAGAGCCTTGGCTCAAACAGAACAACAAGCCATAAAGAGCCTCAAAATGACTAACGCAAAACAATTCAAACATATTTTAATAAACAGCTGCGCCATGAGCGCATGATACGCCCGTCGTCTTGTGTGTGAATTTTTATGCAATAAGCATAAATAGTTTCTGACAATACGGCGTGACATGCGAAAACCCCCCTTTTTTTTTAACAAAAAACTCAATATCTCTAAAATAAAATTTTTAATCAAAACCAAAAAGTATACAGATCTTTAGATTAATATAACTAAGAAGTGTGTAAAATTTTAAGCAATAATCATACATCGTTTTTGAGATACGGCGCGACATGTGAAAAACCCCTCCCCCTTTTTTTACAAAATACTCAATAACTTAAAAATAAAATTTTGAATCATCACCAAAAAGTATACAGATCTGAAGGTTAATATAACTAAGAAGTGTGTAAAGTTTTAAGCAATAATCATAAACTGTTTTTGAGATACGGCGCGACATGTGAAAAACCCCTCCCCCTTTTTTAACAAAATACTCAATATCTCTAAAATAAAATTTTGAATCATCACCAAAAAGTATACAGATCTTAAGATTAATATAACTAAGAAGTGTGTAAAGTTTTAAGCAATAATCATAAATTGTTTTTGAGATACGGCGCGACATGTGAAAAAAACACACACACCTGTTTTAGGTACTCTAAGTCCCGTAACTCAAAAAGTTTTAATCTTATTTTCACCAAAAAGTATACAGATCGTTTGACCATCATAAGAAACAACTATGTTAAGTTTCATGAAATTTGGATAAGTCATTCTCAAGTTACGGTGCGACATGTTTACGCCGGACAGACAGACGGACAGACAGACAGACGGACAGACAGACGGACGGACGCCTGACATTTGTATACCATAATACGTCCAGTCAAAAATTTGACGGGCGTATAAAAATGTATCTTCCAATATAGTTTATTACATTGGTTGCAATGTAATACTTTGATTCCCAGTAAAAAAAAAACCAGATATTTCACATGTAAAATAAATCTTGTATATTAGTTTCTCTGACAACAATAATAATGTGTAGCTATTTAATTTACATCTCTATGAAAAGTCATTGTAACACAAACAATAACTATTGCAAGAATTTAAATATAAAAAAATTAAATAAGGGACAGAACAACACATTAATCACCAAATGCACAAAGGGCATGAGTGAATTATTATTGTTGTTGAGGCACAGTTTTTGGGCATTTATGAATTAATGACACATTAAAATGCTACATCTTTAAACTAAGATTGTTGATTGTTAATTGCTTAACATCAAGATTTTTTGAATACCAAAGGCTCATTCCTTCATCAAATTTAACATGAATGAGAGTTGATTTGCCCTGTATATGGATTTTAGATTTGACATACCTGAGGTCCCCTTTCTTCATCAAGTTCCACAGTCATAAGAGCCGACGCCCCCTTTTCATTGATGGTAGAATTTTTTCCCTGCCAGAAGAAGTAAGCACACCTCTCTCTACCAACCAGAGATCTTCTGGACTGTGAACCTTTCAAGTCCTTAGATTCTGTTAAATAGAATTAAACCTTAGATTCTGTTAAAAAGAATTAAATCTTAGATTCTGTTAAATAGAATTAAACCTTAGATTCTGTTAAATAGAGTTAAACCTTAGATTCTGTTAAATAGAATTAAACCTTAGATTCTGTTAAATAGAATTAAACCTTAGATTCTGTTAAATAGAATTAAACCTTAGATTCTGTTAAATAGAATTAAACCTTAGATTCTGTTAAATAGAATTAAACCCTAGATTCTGTTAAATAGAATTAAACCTTAGATTCTGTTAAATAGAATTAAACCTTAGATTCTGTTAAATAGAATTAAACCTTAGATTCTGTTAAATAGAATTAAACCTTAGATTCTGTTAAATAGAATTAAAGCTTAGATTCTGTTAAATAGAATTAAAGCTTAGATTCTGTTAAATAGAATTAAAGCTTAGATTCTGTTAAATAGAATTAAAGCTTAGATTCTGTTAAAAAGAATTAAACCTTAGATTCTGTTAAATAGAATTAAACCTTAGATTCTGTTAAATAGAATTAAACCTTAGATTCTGTTAAATAGAATTAAACCTTAGATTCTGTTAAATAGAATTAAACCTTAGATTCTGTTAAATAGAATTAAACCTTAGATTCTGTTAAATAGAATTAAACCTTAGATTCTGTTAAATAGAATTAAACCCTAGATTCTGTTAAATAGAATTAAACCTTAGATTCTGTTAAATAGAATTATACCAGAGTAAGATGATCATTAACATTAAGCTCTTATACCAATACAAGTTTAATGCAAAAGAAAGATGGAATTTGATAGTTCTTTATTAAGTGACAATAGGATTCAACGTAACTGCACATAAACAATTTAATGCTAATTTCTGCAAAACATTCTTTATGTGCCTGTTCTAAGTCAGAAGCCTGTAGTTCAGTGGTTGTCATTGGTTCAAGTCTGTCATAATTGTTTTTCGTCAATTGTTTTGTTGTAAATTAGGTCCTTAGTTTTCTCAATTGAATTGTTTTATATTTTTCATGTCCTGGCTTTTTATGGCTGACTATACAGTATGGGTTTTCTCATTGTTGAAGGCTATAACTTTGCCTATAATTGCTTACATGCACCTCATTTGAACTTTAGTGGATAGTTTTCTCATTGGCAATCATACCACATCTCCTTATTTTTATATTCTAAAAGTCCATAACTATTGATTTACAAATGTACAATACTGATATAATCATTTATACAATTTACAAAAAAGTACTTTTTGGGTGCTGGTATTCTCATCACCAGTAATTAAATCACTACACAACAGTTCATCAAAACATTCCATAAGTTCATAAAAGATTTCTGTTTCCAACGACCAACATGTTCTTTTACCAAGTGTTCCCTTTTAACATGTACTATTCTGTATATACTACCTACCTTTGTTGGTAATCATATATTGCCACCTTACAACGTAGGTATCACCATCATGGAATTGTCCGTAACTTGTTTCTTCTAATTCAAAATGGTCGTACTCCAACACGTGCCAAACTTTGACCCCTAATGTAACAATACTCTGTTTCCTGATAAATCCATCCATGTCCTCATCCCTGTAATACAAAGTAATATACAGTGAAACCTTAATATAAAGGTCACCCGGGGGACCCGAGAAAACTTATCTTATAAGAGAGTTGATCTTTCAATTGAAGTTCAATATGCAAAAGTATTCTTACAGTGGAACAATATGAAGATGATCTAACAAGACAAGTTTCACCTTAATAGAGGTTTGATTGTAGTATTATAGTTTTATTTCATAAAATGTATGTTCTATTTTACTGTGTAATACTGTAATACCGCTTCAATTCATTTAATGATGTTTTGTATCTCTTTGGAATCATTTTAAAACATTGATTTTGTAAGTACATAAAATCCTGACAATGTTCCCCTTTTTCATTTATTTGTGTATTTCCTTTTACTAATTTTGGGGAGTATTGTTTTTTTTCTCCAATTATTTATTTGGTATTCTTTATTTGCCCTTTTCTGTTATTTTTTCCTCTCTTTTTTGTAGTACAATTATAAGAATCAATTTGTTTATAGATAGTAGTTTTTGTTTTTATACAGACAGTTGAAGGTCGTACGGTTGCCTATAATTGCTTTCTTCGGTACATCTACTTCATTTAAACTTTGGTAGATAGTTGTCTCATTGGCAATCATATCACATCTCCTTATTTTTATAGAGACAAAATCCAAACAGCTTCAATCATAAATGGCATATTTCTGACTTTTATTTCTCTAACTTTTTGGCTAAAGATAATTGAACTGCATAATTTTTCTAAACTTGTTATTGTATTTACCATTCTCTTCCTCTGCCAACATTTGAACCCTCTAGAACTAAGGTCACAGGCTTAGTGTTCAGTCTTAACATTAAGTTAGCATCAAATGGCTTCAAGTCAGCTAAGTCCATCTACAAAGGGGAGAATGATTTATCAATTTAATTCCAATTATGATTTAAAAAGTTTGTAACTAGGAATCCTTAAAACTAATACTCATGGGGGATGGGGTAGGGGTGGAGGGTTGGGGGGCACTTACTATGTTATAATTGGTAAGGATGAGCCGTTGACATAGGTCACTATTTCAAGCTTCATGTTATATGAAATGGTTGAGAAAATAAGATGGAATATATTAAAAGGCTGCTGATTGAATCAAAGGTATCTGAAATTAATCTGATGAAGATTTTTTTTTACTGTTATTAAATACCTCAGAGGAAAATGTGTCAGATATTTATCTCTCCATTAAATAGCGTATTCATGATAGCTATAGGTATAGTTTTGGTAAAAACTGTATGATATGATATAAATTTTTGTTATTCAAAATATATGAAAAAGATGAGGTATTGAATGTCTCAGCTGCTCATTCTTACCACAAAAGGATTGAAGTGCCATACTGCATGGCAAGTTATAAAGGCCCCGAAATGAAAAATGTAGAACGTTTCTAACAAGAAGACTAACAGCTTGATCAAGTTTCATTTCTTGTGTCAACAGTACAGAGGCTTACCTTACTTCCTGACATATCATCTGGACCTTTAACCTTGATTAACCTTGAATTGTCTGGCCAATCAGCAAACTTCTCTCTAAACAGGATGGTTTCCATATTTTGGTTGACTTTACCAAATAATGCCCAGTCTGGTCGCTTTGTACCCTCCATGGTTAAACCACCACATTCTTCCGCTGAAATCAAATATAAATGGCATTTCACAATTTTATATCATTCTGAAACATTTCAAATATGAGCTGCGTCGGATAGAAATTGACCTTATACAAGTGCATGTATACATGTACATGACTTTGATTTATTTCAGAACATTTTTTAACCCGAAATAAGTTAACAGATGTCTTGATATTCATTTGCATAAGGTCGATTTCTATAAGACACAGCTCATGTGATATATTTGTTTCTTACAAAAACAGTGTCTCCTTTACTCAAGTCTGTACTCTAATAAAAAGATCAACACAAAACTTCATTCAAAATAATTCTGCTAAATTTTGGTTCATTCTAATGCAGAGTGCTTTCAAATCCTTGTGACAGATAAACAAATATTCCTATGTATATAGACTTTATTCAGGGCAATGACTAATAGATTGATCACATGATATCATATCAAATGACAATAAATCACATGACTTACTTCTGAGTGGACAGAGAGGATTAATCAGTGCAGCTCTGTAATCGTAACCATTCTCCCACAACTTCCTCCCCAACTTGACACCAAGCTTTCTCTGGTCCGGTTTAACAGCCTTCCCCTGCCAAACGTACAGCTCACTTCCAAAGTCAAATATAATCACCTAAGGCAGAAATCAATATATATACTGTTACCATGCTAAGTATTAAATATTAAATATTTCGTATTTTATATTCTTTATAACAAATAATGTGTGTAATGGATTCTGCATTTGTATATATGTTGATGGAATATTCAGCATGCTGTAAATAAGTCATTGCATGACTGGTGAACTATTGATTTTACGTCTATGTTCATACACTATACACCGACTTTTACTTAGAGTGCTCAGAGTAAGGGTTAAGGGTGCAAATTATTACGGTTTAAAAACAAAGCTCCTGCTAGAGGAGGAAGATAAGTATTAGGTAACAGGTAACTGCAAAGGAAGTTCTCTGGTTTTTAAATATTTATCCAGAAATCACATATTAATAGCAAAATACTCTAGCCAACAAAATTCTCCATGATGTTCATCAAAGCAGGACGTTATTCAGTATCATTAAATAAAATAAAAGATGAATTTTGATCTCCCATTGGGAAATTTTTTCATCACATGATATATCACATGACCCACATAAGGAAGACTTAACCACCCGATGATGACATTGTGCAAATTTTAATGAAAAACATATACATGTAAATACCTCATCCTTTTTGAGCATTTCTATTTTTGGTACACTCCCCCAGAAATCTCTATAGGGAACCAGAGCATTCTCTTCTAGACGGTAAATCATGTTTGTTTCTACGATGTGATTTTCATAAAGCTCATCTTCCTCTTGAGGTCCAGCTGACCCAACTGTTCCCTGCCCACCTAGAGCTGACCAGAAATGTTTCCCTGCTCCCATGAACTGTTTCTTCTCCTCAACAACGGCTACAATGGTTGGTGCTTTACAACCGAGGTCTTTCTTCTGTTGAATGAACGATGCTACGTCTGCGGCTTTGGCCTTTTCTATGACATTGGCGTACTCTCCAATCCATTGGATGATTTTGTCAGGTGTGACCAGAACATAGCAATCCCCACTATTAACAGAACTTGCCACAGGTTCTACAAGTCGGACTTGTGTACGTCTACGACCTTTAACATGAAGGAGCATCAGGTCCTTGTATGGATCAATGGAATTCAGGCCTTTCATGGAATCTGTTCTGCGCAAGTTGACGCTGGCAAAATCTTCCGTACTAGCAAGTCCAGCTAAAGCTGCCTGGGCAAAACCTGCCCCTTTAGATACTGAAAGAAAACAAAACGTTGTATACTTTAAAAGAATCTTGATGCCAAGCAAAGTTATTGCAGTAAGATATCAGCTGATATAGCAATATGTATGTGTATATAAGGTAACAAAAGTTTATTTAAAAGCTTAATGTAAATGACCTTTCAGAAATAAAGTTTCATTAGGTGTCTCATATTAACTGTTCCATTGTACTACACCTGAATATTGAACTTTTAATTTATATGGGTGTTATTAAATGACTGAACCCTGTTTTTATGTCTTTGGTAGGTCGGAAAGTTTTATTTAAAATTCCCTGTTTTAGTTTTTTTTTTCATCAAAAGGGCAATGTTATTCTTTTATTTTCAGGATTACCAATTTTCATGGATTGAGGTATAACAAGAGGCTGTCAGAGTGACAGCAAACCGGATTTTCCTGCAGAGGTCAAACCCTGAACAGTTGAGCAAGTATGGACACTTCATTTAAGCTTAAAACTGCTCTGAATTTGGATTGTGGTTGAATATTTGACACAGTATAGGTTTGTGACACAAAATGAATGTGGTCAAAAAACTGAAATATTTGAAAATGGACATTTACCTATTATGGTCCAATATCCAAAATCTAAGTACATTGTCAGAATCACCATATCAAAGAACCCCAAAAATTCATTTTTTAATGAAATCAAACAAAAGTTTAATTTAGGACCCTTTGGACCACAATGTGGACCAATTTGATAAAGGAACTCACAAACCAAAATCTCTCAATACATGGTAAGATTCAGCATTTCAAGGAACCACATAAATTCAATTTTTGTGAATCAAACAAAGTTTAATTTTGGACCATGATTTGGACCAACTTGAAAACTGGGCCCAAAAATCTAATATTTCAATACAGGTTTAGATTCAGCATTTGAACGAACCCTATATATATTTAATTTAAGTTGAAATGAAACACAATTTAATTTTATCCATATATTTTCTGTGCAAAGGGAAATAACTCAAACTTGATAAATAGATATGATTATAATGAATAAAGTGATGACTAAGTTCTATAAAATTAGAAATGATGTAATTTTTCAAATTATAATCAATAATAAAATAACAACAACCAGTGATGACTAAGTTCTCTTAAATGAGATATGATTTAACACTCAAACATTGTTAAAATCAGCATATCAAAGAACCCAAGAATTCAATTATTGATTAAACAAAAGTTTAATTTAGGACCCTTAGTACTTCGATGTGATATTATCTAACTAATAATGAAAATAAATACAGGTTAAGATTCAGCATTTCAAAGAACCCTATATATATTCAATTTATGTTGAATTCAAACACAGTTTAATTTTGGACCCTGATTTGGACCAACTTGAAAACTGGGCCCAAAATCAGAAATCTAAATATATATTTATTAATAGACAATATAAGCTAATTTTTGAAAGGAGTTCACCTAATCAAAAAAATATATATAGCATTCAGAAAATTAGTTTTTACAGAATAACAAACAATTTACAATTTACCAAAGTAAAAGAAAAAAGAATCAAAAATTTTATTTATCATTAATACAATGTCTTTTAAAAATCTATAAAACTTATCTGTAATTATCTTCAAAATGTCTAATAATGAACAGTAAATTTCTAACTATATTTACTTCTATATAGCTTTTAATCATCAACACTTAGAAAACAGAAAATTTTCAAATAAATCTGTCACTCAAGATAAGACATTAACCATATGTTTAGTAAACTGATTACAGGACATATAAACAGGTGAAAATTATCTATAAAGGCTTAGTGTAATCAAACTTTATGTATATAATTAACAATTTCTGTTCAAAGGAAAATAACTCAATCACAAAAAAGACCCCAGGTGACTAGACTTTTATTTCATTTGATTTGTTTTATTGTAATATACAAGAAGAAAAATTGTTTCAGGGTGGGGATCTTGACTGTTTACAAGTTTTAAAAAAAAAGGGGGTGAGGGTTACCCCAGAGGACTTCCCCTAATTTTCATTTGATTTGTTTTATTGTCCCATAAAAGATTATATATGGTTTAGGGGTGGGGATCTCAACCGTTTACAAGTTTTCAAAAAGAAGGGGGTGGGGTTTACCCTCGTGGACTTCCCCTAAATTTCATTTGATTTTTTTTATTGTCCCATACAAGAATATATATGGTTTAGGGGTGGGGATCTCAACCATTTCCAATTTCTCAAACAGAAGGGGGTGGGGGTTACCCCAATGGACTTCCCCTATATTTCATCTGATATGTTTTATTGTCCCATACAAGAATATATATGGTTTAGGGGTGGGGATCTCGACCGTTTACAAGTTCTCAACCAGAACGGGGTGGGGGTGACCCCAGGGGACTCACCTTTTATTTCATTTGATTTGTTTTATTGTAACATACAAGAATATATATGGTTTCAGGGTGGGGAGCTTGCACATTTACAAGTTTTCAAAAAAAAGGAGGGTAGGTGTGAACCCGAGGACTATCCCAATATTTCATTTGATTTGTTTTATTGCCCCATACAAGAATATATATGGTTTAGCGGTGGGGATCTCGACCGTTTACAAGATAAAAGCACATTCTCAAATTGAAGGGGGGTAGAGGTAAGAATATATATGATTTAGGGACACTTAATTATCTACAAATTTTTTAATAATGAACAGTAAATTTCAAACTTCATTTATACAGTCCTACTAGTAAGTTTCAAACTTTATATATACAGTACTACAGATCTTATTATCAGAAAACAGACAATTTTCAAATAAATCTGTCACTCCAATGATTATCATATGCTAAAATATTTCCAAGATCTAATTAATAATGAAAATAAATCATTATCATATGCTAAAATATTTCCCAGATCTAATTGAACAGAACTATGGTTTAACATAGTACTCTTAACATTACATATATAATAATTAATAATGGTATAATCTTCAAATTGTCTAATGATATAGCTTATAATCATTACCACTTAGGAAATAGATAATTTTCAAATAAATCTGTCACTCCAATTTTTATTGTGAGATAAGACAAATCATAACATGATAACAAGAGTAAAATATTTAAAAATTCCACTTTTGGATATTAAAAATAACTCAAAAAGGAGAAATACTAAAATCTTGAAAATTGAACTAGACCTTCATTAAGTCCCAGGAAACAACATATTTAAATTTGAAAAAAATTTGTTAAAGCGTTTTCATGTTATTGTGCTGACACTGTTTGACAGCCGCCCGTCAGCCCGCCATACATCCCCATTTTAATAACCGATATTTCCTTCGAAAATCCGGTTAAAAAGTATTTTTATGGATACCTTATTTCATGGCTTTAATGAATTCTACATACTATCCTTACAGATGACTTGTATTTTTATGGACCTTTATAAACAACTGTACATGGCCTGGTTAAATTGCAGATCTCTTTACAGGTTCTAATCTTCATATAATAAAATATAAAATATCAATGCATTCTCTGCTTAGTTTTTTATGTATTGATAACATTTATTCTCTTTCTCTGCCAGTCCAGTGCTGACCTCTTCGTACTCAGTTTTAATCTCAATGGTAGTACACTTACTTTTTTCTGTTTTAATTCGTTTAATCTCTTTTTCTGCTAATCCAGTGCTGACCTCTTCATACTCAGTTTTAATCTCAATGGTAGTATGGATGGACCTGAGAGGATTCTTTAAACTTCCTTGGTGTTTCCTCTTAGGACGGATTCTCTGAATGGACGGAAGCCTATAAATATAAAATCACACAGTCAATTAACGTCTCTTTATAAGCAATTGAAGCAAGTTTAAAATTTGCTGTTCATCTTTTAAAAAATGACAAACTTTTCAATGATACAGTTTTTTCAAAAAGATGATGAAAGCACATACATATCAAATCAAGATGCATTTTGTTGGGTACTGTGAATTCATTTATTTTCGTTGGTACCAATTTTTGTGGATTTAGGAAAAATTATATTTTTGTGGATATTTAATAATGTGGTTAAAGATGGTTTTGCCAAAATCTGCATGCAAGCATAAAGAAAATTTGTATATCGTTGAACATTTAAAAGCTAATGTTCTGAGTTTAAATCAATATTAAAATGCAAATGTGTGAGAAAGGTCTTGTACGAATTTAAGACTTTCAATACATAATTTTGCCATATATATTTCCTCAAAAGACAAAAGGGGCCTCGGTGACCGAGTGGTCTAAGTAGTTACTACTGTAATCACTAGCCAGTCAACACTGAGGTTGTGAGTTCGAACCCCACTCGTGCGGGTCCACTCGACTCCAATCTTAATTGACTAGGATTGTCAGTTTTCCTATCGAAGGTCGGTGGTTTTCTCCGGGCGCTCCGGCTTCCTCCACCAATAAAAACTGGCCGCCACGAAATAGCCCAAAAGCGGTGCTTAAAAGTGGCGTTAAAACACCAAAAAATCAAAATCAAAATCAAAAGACAAAAATCTTTACGTTTTTTACTTACATATCATTGGCTAATATAAATAGTTCATTAAAATCATCGATGGATACATCCACTTTCTGTGTGGATAATTCTGTTACTTTTCGGCTGTGGAAGAAAGATCTTATGGATTCATCGTTATTATCAGGAACAGTAACTCTTACTGGCCCCTTTGGTTCTTCATCTTCTATATCCTTCTCAGGAGGTGGCGACGATTCCTTGGGTGTGATTATAGCTGTGGGATCTAGAAAAGGAAAATTAACAATTAGGACAAAGTTTATATGGTCTTCCTTAACTAAATATACCATAAAATTGAAAATATATCAAAATATTTTTGTTAAAAGAAGATTTGTTTGACAGGAAGACATTATTCAATATCCTTCTCAAAAATTTATAAATGTATTAAATGAATATTTCTCAAGCACAAGATACCATGTAGTAAAATCTTCACAAGACTGAAATACTTAGTTAAAATTCAGAAATTATTGTGATTTTTGGAGAATTGACAAAAGTGTGAGATTAATTATTGAGATTTCCGGAAATTCTGTATAAAGATAATTATATGTATGATATCAGAATGTAAGTTCTGATTATTGTTATACTCACGAAGTAACATTCACAGTAATATAAACCTTGCAATAATTTCTGAATTTGAATTAGTTATAATGTTTTGCCTGCCAAATCATAAAATAATGTACAAGCTACTTGGATAAAAATTGCCTTCTGAAATCAATTGAAAATTTTACAAATGAATTTATGAAACAGATTTGAAGCATCAATGAATATGCAGATAAAAAAGCTAAAGCTTCTTACACAATTCTATAATAAGAAATGGGGAAAGATGTAAATGATATAACGTCCAAGTTTTAAAATATAAATTAAGCAAGTGAAGAGCACTAAAATAAGTAGCTGTTTTCATAGAGTAATTGCCTAGTATGCAAAGGTTATGGTAGACCTTTGATAGTCTTATTAAATCTAGATATTATTTCAAGACTTGGGATATAAAGAGCTTGACACATTGCATGAATCGTCCAGAATATACATGAAATATTTGCCACTGGATGTTAAGCAACCAACAATCAATGAATTATTGCATGAACATTTGCTCATTACTGAAGGTTGTATTTTGACCTCTTGATGACCTTGTTTCTGTTGTTTGGTTGCTGTTTCATTGACATATACCCCACATATCCATTTATTGAAATGCATTTGTTTGAATTTAGGCACTATATTTTTTTGTACAGCTACTGAGCCTTTTGCTCAAATGAATTAAAAGGATTTATTCATATTGTGTCTTTATCATAGAAAAAAAAACATATTCCAAAATGAAACTAGACAATTCATAGCACTATATAAGGTTCATTAATACGGATTTTTTTTTCACACAACTGTCCATGCATTGAATGGTTTAAGGATTATTGGCTAGCTGTACATCCTGATTGTGGCGGACTTAAAGGCTTGCCATACATGCTACTTGTTGTGGCAAGTCTTCCTGGGTCATCAGTTTGTTTTAAATAAAGAACAGACGCATAAGACATAAATGGAACATTTTGTGACAGAAAAAACATTACAGACTAACAGTCTGTTATAATAAGCTAGCCCTACTTTTTCAATTTTGACTTCTGGTTTTCTAGGAATGATATAAGAAGCATGCACTATATAGTTCTACAACATGCACTATAGTATAGATCTAGTTCTTACTAGCTTAATTCATAGTTACTACAGTTTTAAAAATGCTACAAATAATTCCTGTAAAGTGGCGTTTCTTAAAAATTGTGTCAAATGTTTAATCCAAATAAAACCCTCCTTCTGCATACATTTGTGGTTTTTATGATTGTTTCGTTGCTGTATACTTCCCATCTCTTTATATTCATATTTAAGTACTACTAAAATCACCTTTAAAATTTTCAATGTCAAAAAATTAAACCAGAGAGGTGTGCTGATAGATATCTATTTAGGTACAATATAAAGATTATTTGCCTAAACATTTCTTAGAATCAAAAACTTTATCTTTGAAAACTGTAGTAACTAAAATTAAACAGAAAAATGAAATAACATAGAAATAATTAATTCATTTGAATAACAAAAGAATTACAGAGGGATTACAATATCAAGGGGGAGGGAACTCTTTACTTACCAACAATCAAGGTTTGAGGGATAGGAATTTTTGGCCATTCTTTCTGGGATGGGGTACTAGGAGAAGATAACTCGGATCCAGACTCGGACTCAGATTCTGAAATATCATTAAAAACAATTCTGGTTCTGTTAGTTGTGAGTTGCAACAAAGCAAAGCACAAATGTAGAAATAAAATGAATTAGGTGTTAAAAACAGTGATAAAATGTGATTGGTGAAAAATTAAAAGAAAATCCCCCATTTTGTTTCTCATCTATCTGTAAAATTAAGCTTAAATTCTAGCTTCTACTGTTCTATTTAAAAACAAATACAGAAACACTGAAACATAGATTATCTCCCTTTTAACATAGATTATCTCCCCTTTGTACAGGTTTCTCTCTACTGATTATATTTGTTAATCAAAAGTAAAGTTTGTTAGTCTTTCTTGACAAAATTTCTAAAAAAAAACTATTTCTAATTGATCAGAAAAAAAAGCTATTTATATAAAATATGGTCCAGTGTTTCAGATTTGCCAATTTATATTTAACCAATGTAAGCTTGTCCAACCACCTATACTTTACAATAGCACACCCATTCCTGCCCCTTTCCTATTATATGCTAATATAATCTAAAGCTTTTAAACTTTATCTAATAAACCTTTATAACAATGTCTACCATATCTCAAGAAATGCAATGATTTTCCCCTGATATTTTAATTATATAAAGGAATGTAAGCAAAACATGAGAATTTCTATCTGATATAAAACTGCCCCTAATGTGATTTCAACATGTCAAAAATAATGTTCTTGTTGCAAGTTCAACAATTTTAATTATTTGTGTTTACAGTTAGATTGTCTTAGTTGAAAATAATAAATTAATCTAATAAACTCTAAACTTGAGGTATAGTGACTAACTGATTAATCTGAAGCAAACATAAAAATATTGTTTCGACTTCTTGAGATATGGTACCAGATCCCCCTAAGCATCTGATGTAGCTTGGCTCTTTCCACAACAGTGTCACAAACAAGGTGATCAGATAATACAGTAACATACATATTATCGTTTCTTGTCAAGTCAAAAGTCAACGTGTCTGACAAACTTAGACATTCTAATAAATTTTTCCTTTTTATAATGAAGTTTTTTTTCTTTCTAGATGGACCTATTCTCAAACAAATTTCACTTCTTTGAAAAACAAAATAAATTTGATTTTGTTGTTAAAATATTGGACAAATGTACAATATTTCAAGGGGTTTTATTTTACAGAACTGCATATACCTTTTTTCAATCTAAAATCAATATTTGTTTTAATTTCTACAAAGTTTCAATTTCCCCATGTTTAACACAGAATTACACATAAACTGTTTTAATTCAAAAACAAAACTTTTTGATTTCTGTAATTTTTAAATTGTATGTTACAGTATTATCATCTATACATAGATCTGGTCAGTTGTCCACTTTTAATTTTTTGTTACATTCCACATTTAAACAATTATGTCTTTGCTGGTTAATGACTCAGTCAATTAACTTTTAAGGGAAGTAACATTTTTTGGCAAAAAAACTAAATTTTCATTTCAAAACATCAATCTTTGAATATAATATCATAAATAGAGCGATTTTTTCTCCAATATTACAAACAGCACAGAAACCTGATTTTATTTTAAGACTTTATTTCCTCACTGACCAAAAAGTAACTGACCATAACTATGTACTATAAACATAAAACTTGTGAATATAAAACAATATAAAGCATGATATACCTTTCTTGGTACGACCTTTCAACTTCCTCATCAAAGGACTGTCCTCTACCTGACCTGTAAAATAATAAGGATTATCTCCCTTTAGTAGTGAATTTTTACAAGACTGTCTGTCATATTTCAAATCTACAGCTCTATAATTGAAAAAAATTATGTACTTACAATTACAATTAAAAGCACTTAAACTAAAAAATTATGTACTTACAATTACAATTAAAAGCACTTAAACTAAAAAATTATGTACTAACAATTACAATTAAAAGCACTTAAACTTAAAAATAGATAACAAGTTTGGACCTGTCTGCCCTTGTGTTTTACATCCTGGTCCTTTGTCATTGGTGGAGAGTTGTCTTATTGGTAATTATACAAAATGTCATTTTTTTTTTATTAAGCAGAGTTCTTGAAAGTGTTCATATCAATAATAGACTAATAGAAATTTAAAATGTCAAACATATGTTGTATCTATGCCAGTCCCTTTGTCTGATCAAGTGAATGAATTTTTCAATAGAATAAAAGAATTGATAAGACTGTCAAATAACTGTTGAAAATTTATTTCAAATAATAAAAAAATTCAGTGACAGTTTAAATTTCCACTTAAGACAAAAATATTTTCAAAAACTCTGTGATAGCAAAGGTCAATCATTTTCACAGGAACTTTTTTTTTTAACATATATGAGGTTATTTTCGTGTCAGGATGTGTTTGCGTTTTGCTTCTCAGAAGGGAAGTTAATCTTTTCTGTGTTCATTGTTCGTATTTCACACAATCAAAATATACACAAAGATACCATTCTTTTTCAAACCACAAAAAATACATGAGTGCACATAAATTCAAAGACAATTACCAGCCAATTTATGAGCAACTGTGAAAGTCTTAGCGTCTGTCTCTTCAACTCTTCCTTTCCATCCAACTTGAGCTGTGCTAAGGAGATTGAGACGATCAGCAATACTAGATGGACGTGCCATCGTAGCACCTACTTTCTCCCGTAATTTAATCTCCATAGGTGACTGTTCTATATCTGAAGGCTTTTGTACCCTTTTCTTCCATTCTTCTTCTCCACTTTGCTTCAGAAGATTGAGCCTACATAAAAATAATGATTCAATGTTTTAAATGAAATATATCTAGCTGTTTAAGGTGGTACCAAACAACTTGACTAAAATTAATTTGGCTGTTTAATTTTCATAAAATTTTGACAAAATACTTACTATGACCCTTTGACAAAAATATAAAAATTTCAAAAAATTTTAACCACACACTTTGTCGGAAAAATTTCAATGGGTATATAGCAGTTTGACAAACACTAATTTTGATTATTGAGAAGCTATTAGCCGACTTTTACAGAGTTATCTCCCTGTAGTATTATGTACCACCGTAAGTAAATGATTTACTGTTTCGTCATAACTTTCATGTCATCAATAGATCAAATAAATATTAGGATAAGGAGATCACATTCATCATAATGTGTATTAGGTCTTTAGGTCATAAAATATTCTGGAAAAGGGGAAATAATTTATTTACACAAGGTCCTGAATCAGTACCGGTGGTAAATAAGACAATTACTAAACAAAGAATGAATTTTATCTAAGGGATTACAATTCCTGGCCTTGTGGTCATAAAAGTTTCACCAACGATTATCGTACTCAGACTCAGAATTCAACCAATCAAAATACTGGATTTTGTGTTTCGAGCACAAATTTTATACTCCGAGTACTGAGTACAGTTTTATGACCGAGGACCCTGAAGTTGTCTTAGAGCAGGAAAGCATAAATAATAAGGAACTAGATTCATAAGTTACTGTAACTGGTCCTCGTATCCATAAAATTTAAATCAAAAATTGGCACAATTGTGAAGGAAAGATAATTACCAAGCAACTTCCAATAATGACCCTCACCTGTCCTGTAGACTACCGCTCCTTGAGACATCCGAATCAATTTCAGCATCTCGTTTCTCTTCTGGTGTAATAGGCTGAGTTTTATGTCGCCCAGTATATTTGAATTTTCTAGGTGTCTCTGGAGATTTTTCTGGTGTGGCATCAGCAGGCTGAGTCAAGTATCTGAAAGACAAAATATATATTTCATCTGATTGAATTTGTTTGTTTACCATTAGTTGGTAGATTTCCTTCAGGGTACAAGCATTAAAAATACATATATATTTGAATGAAAAATACCGTTTGAATGGTTTTACACTAGTAATTTTGGGGGCCCTTTATAGCTTACTGTTCGGTGTGAGCCAAGGCTCCGTGTTGAAGACCATACTGTGACCTATAATGGTTTATTTTTATAAATTTTGACTTGGATGGAGAGTTGTGACATTGGCACTCATACCACATCTTCTTATATCTATATATAACATTCAAGTTTCTTTTTAAAACCCTGACTGCATATGTTATGTTTATTATTGCACTAGGACTTCCTGAATTGTTATTAGTAAACAATGGAGCGGAGTACTACTTTAACTCATGTGGTTGAGCGGGGGCTTACTGTGCCAAGGGTCCCAGGTTTGGATCCTGACTGGTACAGTAATCAATTTTATTGGTCAAATCATGCTCTACTGTTACATGAATTTAATTATAAGGGTCAGTCAAAGGTCAGCTTAATTTACAAATGCTCAGAAACTGGAGGTCAAGGGTTACGATAGGAGGTACAGTAACAAGAATCATTCAATTATCTTATTTGAAACTCAACCCTCAATTACAAATTAAATGATAACAAGAATGTGTCCATAGTACACAGGTGCCCCACTCGCACTATCATTTTCTATGTTCAGTGGACCGTGAAATTGAGGTCAAAACTCTAATTTGGCATTAAAATTAGAAAGATCATATCATATCATAGGGAACATGTGTACTAAGTTTCAAGTTGATTGGACTTCAACTTCATCAATATCTACCTTGACCAAAAACTTTAACCTGAAGCGGGACAGATGGACGAACGGATTGATTTACCAATGAACGGACGCACAGACCGAAAAACATAATGCCCCTCTACTATCGTAGGTGGGGCATAAAAATATGCACAGATCATGCTGATTTGTTTTGTTAGTGATCAATACACTTAGTATACTGTAAATTCAGAAATTATTGCGTGCATTTATTATTGCGATTTTGTCATTTTAGACTAAAATGCGATTTTAATTTTTGCGATATTGAGAAAAGTCCTGTTTATTTCATATAAAAAATTTCAAAATGCGAGTTTAAATTATTGCGATTATAACCCTGTCGCATTTTTCGCAATAATAAAAACATCGCAATAATTTCTGAATTTACAGTACTGTAAATTCAGAAAATATTGCATGCATTTATTATTGCGAATTTTGTAGAAATGGACTTACATGACTCAAATGCGAGATTAATTATTGCAATTTCAGGAAAAACTGCAAACAGTTATACATATCAGATATAAGAATGCAAGTTTTTATTATTGCGATACTCATTCAGTCGCATTATTCGCATTAATAAAAACATCGCAATAATTTCTGAATTTACAGTAATTAGATCTGTAAAACCAGATAAAATCTTAACTTACATTTGTGGAATAATAAGTCTACTAACTCTCCTGTTAGATACATAATTATCTACATCCATTTTTTGTGAAAACATTTTATCAAAGTCAGGTGAAGCAATTCCAGTCTGCTGTACACCTTAACAGGACTACTTGAGGTCTCACAACCTCTAGACTGATGGACTGTTCCACTATGATAAGGTCATTTAATTAAAATTAAAATGTCCACAAAGGGAATTTTTACTAGGCACTTGTTCTCCGTATCCATTTTTTAAAATAATTTAGTATTTCCATCATTTATCATAAATATTTACTTAAAAATAAATTTCTGTATTCTTTGATTTTTGAAAATAAAATAAATATTTAACACTTTTATATTTTCAAATTTTGAAACCCCTTCAATTGGCCTCAACATGAGAAGTAAAAAACAAAGTGTTCACATCCTTAAACACTGATCAATACTTCAATAGATACATGTCATAGATTTGACCTCGTGAACAGTACTGGTTGTTAAATAACCCAATCCTGTTAAACCCTTAAAGCACTTGTTAATAACTCATTAAAAATCAATTAAAAAACAATTAAAACTAATTAGTGGTAAACAAAGATAATTATATATTGAATGAATCCCACTATTGAAAACCAACTTTGACGTATAGCCAGGGGCAAATATTACATATATATCATTCAACATGTTCAAGACCATAACATTCAACCTCCAAAATTTCACTTTTCACCAACCTTTATTTTTTTCACTCTCTTTACTTTCCAAAACCCATAACTGTAGTTTTTCTCATAATTTACCAAGGGTTTACTTATGCTCATGTTAGAAGTCATTAGTTTTGTATATGCTTGCTCAGCTAAATGTAATATTGTACACAGAAGACTTTGACATAAGTTAGTAAAACTTACATGACTTGTGTCTTATCCTATTAGTATCATTGACCCAATAAAATAATCATAAACTCAACTAACTGTCTCGGTGGTCTTGTGATGTGATAGCGTGTTCGCCTCAAGTGCAGGAGGTTGTGGGTTTGAACCCCAGCCGGGTCAAACCAAAGACTTTAAAATTGGTATTTGCTGCTTATCTGCTAAGCATGCAGCATTCAGGTATAAGAGCAAAGACTGGTCAGCTCGGAGTCAGAATAATGTGTCTGGGTAAGGTGACATGTCTTCCTGCGGACTGTTACCTTGTGAACTAGCACATTAAAAATCTGGCTCAGCGTGTCCGTCTAGTACAAAGCAGGGTTAATATTCATATTAAATTAACATGTTCTCGTCCTGAATTTGCATATTAATTTGCCGCTGGACGTTAAACAGCCATCCATCATCATCATCATACACTAAACTATGATTGATTGGTGTTTAACTCCACTGTCAACACTTCTGGCTATTTTGTGGCAGTCAGCTTTTATTGGTGGAGGAAGCCAGAGTGCCTGGAGAGAGCCACAGACCTTCGGCAGAAAACTGACAATTCTCGTCAATTAAGATTTAGAATCGTCTGGCAGAAAACTTACAATTCTCGTCAATTAAGATTTAGAGTCCTCTGGCAGAAAACTGACAATTCTAGTCAATTAAGATTTAGAGTAAAGAGCACCTGTCATTAGTGGGGTTCACAGCCACAGCATTGACAGGTTAGTGATATAGTAGTTAACTACTTAGACTATTCTGCCACCGAGTCCCCATTTGAACTACTGTAAATTCAGAAATTATTGCGATTTTTCAAGAATGGACAAAAATGCGAGATTAATTATTGCGATATCATGAAAATCTGCATTCAGATATATGTAACAGACATCAGAATGAGAGTTCTTATTATTGCGATAGTCACCCAGTCGCATTATTCAGGTTAATAAAAACCTCACAATAATTTCTTAATTTACAGTAAGACAATAACAATAAAACCATACCTGTCTTTCTCAGCAGGATCCCTTCCTCGTCTTTTCTGTGCTACATTTTCTACTTCCTCTACGACCTCTGAATGTGATTGTACCGTTTCTTTAACAGACACCTCAACATCGACCTGAACATCCTCCTCCTCAGAATTTTTATGTAAAATGCTATGAAGTTTCTCCTCTTTTACCTCCCTTGAAGGGGATTTTTTCATTGAGCTTTTCTCTGGCTCATTGACTTTTGTTTCAAAACTACTTTCCTTTTTTAAGATACCTTTAGGCTCAGAACTACACTCTAGAGATTTATCTTTCTTTAACATGCCCCTTACATCCCCACTTTTTTCCACGGTTTCCGTGTGTTTAAGTATAGGTGTTAAATGCAAGTCCTCTTCAATTGATTTCCGTTTCTTGTCGAAGTCTTTAGATTTCACGGGATCATCTAATGCATCAAGATGTTTTAATATTGGTTTAACCTCTTCACTTTTATGTTTTCTTTCTGTGTTTTCACTTTTACGTAGAATTGCTTTAACAGACTCTCCGCTGCCATGACGATGTCTCTTCTCTTCATCCTCATGTTTTAGAATTGGTTTCTTCGATTTTTTGTCTGTGTCTTGTAATTTTTCGTCATCATGTTTTAAGATTGGTTTGACCGATTTTTTATCGTCATCTTTTGACCTGACTTCCTCTTCATGTTTAAGAATGCTCCTTTGTTCTGTATGTTTTGTTTCATTAGAAGACACATCTTCTGTGTGTTTTAAGATACTATGGTGTTCTGTGTCAGCAACATGAGGATGATCATGTTTAAGAATACTTTTTACGTCTGGTTCAGGAGTTTTAGCTTGTTTGTCTTTTAAAATACTATGACCCACCAATGTTTCTGTCACCTTTTCAGCAGACTTTAAAATACCTGAAAAAAGTGAGGAAATATGAAGAATAACAGATGATTTATGAGGAAGATAAAAGTGAAAACTTTCAGCTGACAGTCCAAACACAATTTTGCCAACTGGTAATAAACAGCTGAAAATGTTGTACTGGAAGCAAAATTACTGTACATCAATAAACAATTCTGGTAAAATCTACATTGAAAAAATGTGTTAGGGGGGGGGGGGGGGGGGGGGGAGGGGAGGGAATCATGTTTTAAGTTCATTAGCACATTGAGCAGGTAAATGGACAAAATATTGGACAGACCCATAGACAAGAAAAACATAATGCTCCCCTCCCCTACTATCAGAGGAGGCATATTAAACATTGGACATAGGTGGGATGTAAAAAACAACAATGTGATACTAGGAAATAATTCTGTAAGACACAACACTTTTATTGCTGTTCTTTATCTGAACTGTTGTCCAGTCCAACAAAGTCTATTAAATTTCAACAAGAAGTTTAATAACGAATTCATAGTATATAGATATAAGAAGATGTGGTATGAGTGCCAATGAGACAACTCTCCATCCAAGTTACAATTTATAAAGTAAGCCATTATAGGTCAAAGTACGGTCTTCAACACGGAGCCTTGGCTCACACCGAACAGCAAGCTATAAAGGGCCCAAAAAATTACTAGTGTAAAACCATTCAAACGGGAAAATATACTTTATTTCTATGGTGGGAATATTTATAATTGAGGAATGTCGTTCTATAACACAATTACACTTCATCATGTTTTAATGAACACTTCAAACATTTGACATCAAGCTTCATTAAGGAACTACTGATAAAAAATGTCCTTTTAGAAATATGAATAATAGATCTCTGTTAAGAGGCCACTTATCTTTTGAGGACAATCTTGAACATCTTGAAAGTACTCTTATAGGAAATTTCCTGATGTTTGACATAATTAAATTAAGTTTTTTATATAGTTAACAATCCATTATGGCAAGCTGCCTAATTACAGAAGTCAACAAATCAGATTTTAACATCATTAATGTGATGTGTGACATTTTCCAGAGGTGGAACTGGTAATCTTTTTGAATCAATCAAGTTTATTACATTATTTTTTATGAAGTTGGAATTGATCAATGTTTATTTTTCTGTTTAGAGTTATGTGGTGCGTCTTTTGACCATGGTTTTACCTGTTCTAAGCTGCCTTATGATTTCAATAGACACTTGGTATCCTCTTTGTTGTTGTTTTTTTTGGGGGGGGAGAGGGTTACACTCCTAAACCTGTACTTGATGTTCCACCCAATCTACACTCACTTTTAATACGCTTCATATTTGGTGTTAGCAGATAATGGTATTAACCCTTGCTTTTACAGTAATTAGACCTTGATACAGTACTTGAATATTCATCACTGCTTTTTTTTATTCTACAGACAGACACTAACTTTGACAAATGGCCTTGTTTTCTCATTTAATTGTTTCACATTTTTCATGTCAGGGCCTTTTATAGCTGACTATACAGTATGGGTTTTTCTCATTTTGAAGGCCGTACAGTCATTGACAGTGACCTGTAATTGCTTTTATCTTCGTCATTTGAACTTTGGTGGATAGTTGTCACATTGGCAATCATACCACATCTCTGTATTTTTATACTGACCATGATTTCTGTAAAGTACATGTATATTTCTCAGACAGATAACACATTGACCACTGAAATTTTCTTGACCATAACAACATACCTGAATTTTTCTTTGAGTCTTCAGACAAATCACCCATTGACCCATGTCTTGATGATGACCTTGAACCTGGTTGTGAAAGTGAGGCTTCAGCATGTTTTGCCATGACCTCACGCTGTGCACTCAGAGACAGACCTTTTAAGATTTCTGGGTCAGGCGGTTTGGCCAGACTCATGGCCAATGGTGAAATTTTAGCTGCTTTTTCAACTTCCTCAAATGTTACAGGCTGAAATTCAAATGATCAATATTATTTAATTTAGATGTAGTTTCAGCAGTAACCAAGAAAATGGAAGTATCCTGAACTTGTCCTGTTCCAATGCTTTTTTATGAACATGAAAACAATCAATACATTTTAATAGCAGCCTTTTCTACCTCCTAAAATATTTCAGGCTAAAATTCCAAACCAGGTAATCAATATAAACAGGGACTATATCTACTGATCTTATATACATAAATTGATTTAGGTGTAGTTAAGCCTAATGATTACTATCCATAAAATGAAGCATCCAGCTCTAATACTTTTAGATGGACATGAAAATAATAAATACATATCATGTTGTACTATTGTTATTTTCCTGAAAGACTGACCAATCTGAGACAGACCGAACAATATAGCAGTGGCACGTCAATCCATACATATCATGGTGTAGTATTGTTATTTTCCTGAAAGACTGACCAAACTGAGATAGACCGAACAATATAGCAGTGGTACGTCAATCCATGTATATCATGTTGTAGTATTGTTATTTTCCTGAAAGATTGACTAAACGGAGACAGACCGAACAATATAGCAGTGGTACGTCAATCCATGTATATCATGTTGTAGTATTGTTATTTTCCTGAAAGATTGACTAAACGGAGACAGACCGAACAATATAGCAGTGGCAAGTCAATCCATGTATATCATGTTGTAGTATTGTTATTTTCCTGAAAGACTGACTAAACTGAGACAGACCGAACAATATAGCAGTGGCAAGTCAATCCATGTACTGTGAAAGTACTTTTATTCGTGGGGACCAATTTTTGCGGTTTTCGTGGAAGGTTTTATCCACGAATTTTAGTGTCCAACGAAATATAACAACTGTTGTCCAAATCAAGACATGGAAAAATCCCCTGTAGGTTCGACTACATGGATACATGGATACGGGCATATAATCTGGAGAAAACATTGACAAACGCACTATGAACTATATTCAGTGGCGTAGCACAAGTGTAGCATGTACAACTTCAGACAGGATTTTAATCTTTAAATAACCAAAGTTGTACGACTTTCAACCTTTCAATTCTCACAAAAAATTAGCTTTGAAAAATGAAAGTCAGACTTGCGGTTAAGATGTATGATGATGAAGTGTTAATTTTATCTCCTCATAATTTTCTCACGGAAAAAAATAATAATTGTTTCATATTGGGCTTACTTTTTTTATTTCACAAGTATTATTTCATAAGTATTCATTCAAAGTACATTTGTTGCATGTTTATGTATTCTTTTTCTTTAAATAACATGTTTATGGCCCAATTTAAATAAGACCTTTGATGATCGTTATTCTGTTGATCATTCGATGTCGGGTTAATTAGTGTCACCACTTCTGATTACACGTGTGCAACAATCAAAATGTTTACTTTGCAATTTCCTTCAATGAGACAATTTGTATTCAGAGATGAATCAGCTTATTTCTGAAAGCAATTATTTTATTAAAAATTTGATGAATGTTGTCAGAAATTAAAAACGAACATGTAAGTGAAAATGAACACCATATGATTATTTTCAAGAAACTTTGTTTCTGATGTGTTCAAATTTTCTCACAAATTTTTTTCTCAGAAAACTAAATTCCACGAATTTAAGAACCCATGAACATGTAACTTTTGCTCAATCCACGAGAATTGAAACCCACGAATAAAAGTACTTTCACAGTATATCATGTTGTAGTATTGTTATTTTCCTGAAAGACTGACTAAACTGAGACAGACCGAACAATATAGCAGTCGCAAGTTGAGACTTTCATAGCTTACTTTATGTTATGGGTTTTTCTCATTGTTGAAGGTTGTATGCTGGCCTATAGTTGCTTAAATCCACGTCATTTTGAAACTACTTTACACCTCTTTGCAAGATCTATGATGTATCAATACCAGCTTCATTCTTAATACATTAAAGAGGACAAAAGAACATGGGGTAAACCAATACCAAACAATCTCAATTCATAAACATTAAACCAATACCAAACAATCTCAGTTCATAAACATTAAACCAATACCAAACAATCTCAATTCATAAACATTAAACCAATACCAAACAATCTCAGTTCATAAACATTAAACCAATACCAAACAATCTCAGTTCATAAACATTAAACCAATACCAAACAATCTCAAAACCAATACCAAACAATCTCAATTCATAACCATTAAACCAATACCAAACAATCTCAGTTCATAAACATTAAACCAATACCAAACAATCTCAATTCATAAACATTAAACCAATACCAAACAATCTCAATTCATAAACATTAAACCAATACCAAACAATCTCAGTTCATAAACATTAAACCAATACCAAACAATCTCAATTCATAAACATTAAACCAATACCAAACAATCTCAATTCATAAACATTAAACCAATACCAAACAATCTCATTTCATAAACATTACAACGAAATACAAAGAAAACAGTAGTTTTATTATTGTTCTTCATCCTGCAGTCATTGGGTACATTTATGACCCTTTTTTTTCTTTAAGATATATTAATATGTCACAACACAGAGATATTTCATCCTTTAAATACATATTTTCATGACATTTCCATCATGAAAATTATCAGACCTATGTATTGTTGGCATAAATAACTTTTTGACACTCTCAGGATTAACAGTTACAGATAAATAAGGAGAACTCAGAAAATTACAATGTCATAACAGTTTATAAAAGTACATAGTTTATGTGTAACTTCCGTCCTTTTAATCACGTCAACGGTCTGAATACAAAGACAGTTCATGGCTAGTGTTACGACCATTTAAGTGAGAGATGTTTATGTGGAGTGCATGTTTCTAGAAATTTAGTTTCTGTGTGATATATTCTGGACTGCTTATGTAATTTCATGTATTGATGTGATTTCCAGTGCTGATTTCATCCCCTGTTTTTGTTGGGGTGGATGTTGTGTAATGTGAAATCCCTGTGTAATTTTTGAACAACTATTTTTATTTCATTTGAGCTGTGTCGGATAGAATTTGATTAGGCAAGTGCATGTATTACATGCACTTGTATAAGACTTTGATTTTGGAACATTCATATACGTAATAAAAGATGAATGTCAGTTTGTTTTGTAGAATATTTATATCAATTCAATTTCAAACAGTTATAGACTTTGCATAGAGATTTTTCAACCCGAAATAGGATAACAGATGTATTGATATTCATTTGCAATCGACGCAGCTAATTTATTGTGAACTTTTGTGTTGATTTCATCTTCAGGTTTTTTTAAGGGTTCATCTTGCTTAATGTGTAGTCCCTGTTTGATGATTTGCTGACTATATGTGACTGTTTATGATGTTTTGATGAGTATTTGTGACTGTTTATGATGTTTTGACGACTATTTGTGACTGTTTATGATGTTTTGACGACTATTTGTGACTGTTTATGATATTTTGATGGAAAGGACATTTCAGTGTACACACCGTAATAAAATAAAGAAAGGACATTTCAGTGTACACAGCCTAATAAAATAAAGAAATAACATTTCAGTGTACACAGCCTAATAAAATAAAGAAAGGACATTTCAGTGTACACACCGTAATAAAATAAAGAAAGGACATTTCAGTGTACACAGCCTAATAAAATAAAGAAAGGACATTTCAGTGTACACAGCCTAATAAAATAAAGAAAGGACATTTCAGTGTACACAGCCTAATAAAATAAAGAAAGGACATTTCAGTGTACACAGGGTAACAAAATAAAGAAAGGACATTTCAGTGTACACAGGGTAATAAAATAAAGAAAGGACATTTCAGTGTACACAGGGTAATAAAATAAAGAAAGGACATGTCAGTGTACACAGCGTAATAAAGAAAGGATTAGGATTCCAGGTGTAATAATCTCCTACCTGTGTACTGAAGCGTGAAGCTAACTTCCTGTTTTTCCGCCTTGCGATTGGTGGTGGAACTTTGGACTTTTCTGCAGGTTTTTCTTCTTTTTTCAAGTTCTGGAAGAGCTGAACCTTCTCCGCTAAACTCCGTCTAAAATTAACACATGATAAAATGTACAATAGAAATAAAACGAAAACGAAAGTGAATATCAGATCCATTCTGTATGATAGTAACACAGAATGATGACAAATTTCCTTCCTGTATTAAAATCCTTAGAAAACAAAACTCTTATTTGTCATTCTGACTAACATGTCTGAATTATCCAGTAGCCCGAGTTGATGATTGCTACACAATATTCTCTACAATCATAAAACTTGTCCTCGATTTCAGTTTAACATCAAAAACCTGTTTTTACACTATTTCTATAAAGGAAACCACAAGGTTCCTTCCTGTATAGTTTTCCTACAAACAGTTAGGAAAGGTCTTAAATCTTAAAACATTTTAGTATGCTAGCTATAGCCAGGATATATCTTATTTTTAGAAATGCAGGCCATAAATATACTAATTTTAATTCTTATTCCCCATGTGCATAAATGATACTGTATGAAATCATAAAACTTTGTGATGTTTATATACCATTGTAACAGGTTGGCTTACATGGTTTAATTAGCATATAAAAAAATTCATATTTGCATTTTAAGTAGCATTATTTTTTATGCAATAATTCCTGAATCACAATAATCACATCTTGCATTTTTGGTTATAGTTCAACAATCATAATAATAAATGTACATTTAAAATTCTGAATATATAAAGTACTTATTCATTCTATCATTCTAATGAATCGTTTTTGTAAATGCTACATTTTCCCTTAGTGGACACAAATTTATTGCTGATTTAAACTGGATGAACCCGACTAAAACACTTAAACATTATACATAAGAATACAAACACAACATTGACACGAAAGCCAGAAAAAAAACACACAACTAGAGTCAAATTCTACCTTCAATTTATCAAGTTTATAAATATACACTACACTCAAAAACACAAACCGTCATTAAATAAAAACACATTAATCTTGTAACAGCCTGAATTAACTCATGGCCATGTTAAAGTTAAATGAATATTAACGTAGATGTCAACCCCATAATTCTTTTAAACCTTTGTTGATAAAATCAGTCTGATTTATATAAAATCAACACAAGGTCTCACTATATATTCCTAATATTAAATGAATGACCATGTATGTCTAATCAACACAATATATTCCTAACATACTGATTGTAAATATAAAACAAAATAAAATTTAAAGTTCTGCTCTTAATGTTTAGGATCTATATATATATATATATATATATATATATCCAACTTGAAATAGGTGACCGAGAAAATTAAATTTAGTAAAGCTCTAAATGTTCTCTGGACATGCAATTCCTACTACTATGTCAATGAAAACGATCAAAATTATTTTTTTGTTAAAAATTCAAAAATTATGATGCATTTTGTGACGTGTAAATTTGGTATATGCAGGATCATATCTATCAAATATTCAAGAGCAGGTTTCTGGGGGTTAATTCAGGATTTGATGTTGCCAAATTTTCTGTGTAATACTTTTGACCATAAAGCGGTCTGTCTTTCAGATAGGAATTATAAAATTGTCTTTAATCTATTATGTATCTACCGGTACATGTTATTCAAATTTTAAATTCTTCCTGAATAACACCAGACAGCTTACTATTTTCTTCTCAATGATCCAGTATTTGGTGATTAACAAGTTCAATATCTCTTCATTCCTCCTTATATTCATTTTAAATTGGAAAATATTTTAAGTCAAGCTTCACAAAAATCAGTCATCTAAATTGTGATTTTATTACAATCCCCTGTATGATCATTTTTCTAATAAAAATCTGTTATTCTTGAAATCCAAATATTAAAAAGGTACCTGTCATAGGACCATTTCCCACCCACCAATTTTATCTTCATTAGAACCCCACAGGCCAAGGTGATAATTGACAAATTAAAAATCTAAGTACATGTATGTAAAACAGATCATTGCTTCTTACCTTCATATGACATAAAACCTTATTCCCCTCTCTCTCTCACACAACACATCAAATTATATTACACCACTATATAAACCTCATAAAAACATATACATTGTGTAATAAAACACATGGCTCATATCGCAATGTAGGCCAGCTACTTGTGTCAAAACTATGTGGGTGACATTAACTTTGATGTCAGCCTGACAAGAGATCCTTAAAAAACATGGCTACTTTTTTTTTTATCAAAACTTGTTGATTCTATTTTCTAATCTTTTTTTGGTAAAAATAATCAATGTTATTGGACTGAGGAAATAGTATCTACCTACACATGCTACAAATATCTGTAAACAAAGTCAATTTTATCTTTAAATATCATGACCTATATGGTATTATTAACTATATGTTCTATAGAGGCCACAGAAAAGGGTGTTTAGTTCTATAATAATTATATATAAATGTCTTGCATGGGGATGGAAAAGGCTCAAAGACAATAAAAATACATCAAATTCCAAAGTATAAACTACAAAGTCCCTATTTATAATTTCTATAGATCATTAAAGACTGGGGTGTTTTTCACAAGTTCAAAGCTAATATTCTGAAGACACACACTGGATCTCTGATGTACATTATAAGTAATTCATACTCATGGGGTATTTTTTTATGATCTTCATTTTATCCCTTACAGAGACAGCAACCCAATAACATCAAACATCTATAGTTTTCTACAACAATCGTATTTCATCCTATGCTTTTATTCTATCTATGAAATTTCTGAAAATGTTTTCTTATAGAATACAAGCATTCTATTTTAAGTGTCAATACAATGTTTTACCCTGTCTTAATCACTGCCAACTCCCCATAAATATATTTTAGAACCTCAGATAGATGAAATATAATATATGCCTATATCAAATTTATCTATATTCAACATAAAATTTTAAATTTTAATCCCTTATAGATTTATAAAGATAAATATACAAGAGATAGGGTCAATGAGGAAAATTATTTTTCATGAGAAAAGAAATATTTCAACATACATGACATAGTTTGTTACACGTATTGATATAAAAGTAAGGAAATGAGGTATGATTGCCTATGAGACAACTATCCACCAAAGTTCAAATAAAGTGGATGTTATCAATTATAGGCAACCGTAAGGCCTTCAACATGAGAAAAACCCATACCGTATAGTCAGCTATAAAAATCCCTGACATGAAAAATATGAAACAATTCAATTGAGAAAACTAACAGCCCAATTAGGATACCTGAATAAGCACAATTTCAACAAACAGAATTAATATAATTTACTTGACAGCCTCCTGTCTTTTTTCTTTTAATTTCAGACATGAAAATCATGAACAAACTGTTTCCCTTAAAAAATATGTGATACACCAAAAATTGTGAGTAATATTTTGGGAGTACACTTGCATTATACTGTGGAAGGAAATCAATGAAAAAATATCTAAAGGCCTACATATCATGTCCAAATCTGCTATTATAAAGTTCCTATACTAGCATATAGTTGTCTAATGTGGCCATAATTTCTGAAAACCTTCTGAATAATACACAACATTATATGTATTCTGGTGAAACAAACAAACAACACAAATTCTGTTACATCAAAACAATAACCCTAAACCAGCAGGGAATATCTCAAAGTTATCATCTTCTTAAATTCAAAGTTGAGTACTTTTGAAACAGTCCCTGTAGCTATACTTACTTTTCCGATTGTGGTGAACTATAAAAATTTGTTTCAGATACAATCAATAAATTTTAATCCATCTATAAATAATTTCCTCTTAGTGAATACTGAAGAACTTCCTGTTCAAACTTCGAACTGATTTTTTTCTGCATATGTTAATACACTGTATAAAGATAACTATAAAACTATTGAACGTGACAGAGAAATTCTATGTGTTATTATTCTTCCTGATATATGAATAAACCCAAATGTTTTCTTCGTTTTTCGTACAGTACGATTTCAAATTAGCTCATTTCATGTTTTACAATTTTATTGTACGATTTAAATTTGACGGGTGTTATCTGTGTGTAAACAACATTTCCTAGGGTCTGTTTAGATGTGTAGAAAATTAAGGTGGAAATTTAAACCATATAAAATCTGAATACGATCACCCTAAAATCAGCAGAGTACGAAATTACTTTCCAAGGTTATATAAATTTTGTAAAAAAAATATACACATCTATATATATATATATCTCTTTGTGTCAGGTATGATTTGCATGAAAAAGTTTTTTACATTTCAAATCACACCATGAAACATCGTAATTGAATACTTTTAAATAATTCAGTAAATTTTTATGACATCCTTTATTACCTTGTACACAGTACCCATTAAAAAATAATAATAATCATTCAAACTATTGTCATATATTCCTTAACACAGGAACTGGGTCATACATAACAGAAGTTACGGACAGACGAGAGTGGGGATAATGAAATATTTATCATTTAAGTTTGCTAGTATAATATTTCAACGATTTGTACCACAGACTTAAGAACAATAAATACATACTTTGATTTTTCATCGTGAATTCCTTCATTTTCGTCAACCTCGACAGCTTTTCTTTCTGCCTCAGTGATTTCCCCATCACCATCTGCGATTTCTGCTGCAGAATGAACCTCATCATCTGTTACTGGAAGTGTCCTTGACCTTTCTCTCTTCTTCCTGTCGATATAACGCTTCGCTCCACTAGCACATTTCTTTGGTTTATCTTCCAGGATATTTTTAAACATGGATGCCTTTGCTGAAACACTGAGACGAGCCGGATCATCCTCCATTAATTCTGCCTCCAAACTTAAACTTCGTGAACTGTCGGATCTGGCAGAATCGTAACCTTCTAAATCTGACCCCGACAAGATTCCAGAATCGGCTTTTGAGTCCCTCATTCCGCTGTGACGAGACTTTAATCTGTTGGACATCAATCTAATCTCTTCAGATTCTGGCACAGAGCCAAGTTCTGCTGCGGTAACAGGTAATGTCTTATGACGGTAACTGCGACCTCGTCTCTTCCTTGGTAGGTGCTGTGGATATTCAGTTTTCCTGTATACTATTTGTTTATCTTGTTTACTGAATTGCTCAAACACATTTGATGAAGCTTTTCTTAAAACTTCTGCTCGGAAAGCTTGGACAGTGGCAAGGCTGAAATAAACAAATAAATGATAACTTCTGCTCGGAAAGCTTGGACAGTGGAAAGGCTGAAATAAACAAATAAATGATAACTTCTGCTCGGAAAGTTTGGACAGTGGAAAGGCTGAAATAAACAAATAAATGATAACTTCTGCTCGGAAAGCTCGGACAGTGGAAAGGCTGAAATAAACAAATAAATGATAACTTCTGCTCGGAAAAGCTTAAACAGTGGCAAGGCTGAAATAAACAAATAAATCATAATCCAGGAACAAATTCTGACATTTTGAGTGTTGTATCTATACTAACATGATTATCGTTATAAATTATATCTGTAGGAAATATTTATTATGTCATATTATTAAGTTTAAAATTGCATAAAATCCAAATATTTCAACATCGTTTCAAGATAAAAACACAGTGCATACAATGATGGTCTTCCTGTACAACTTTTAAATGTGATTTTTCAAATGTTGATTAAAAATGAGAAATTTATTTATGGAACTTAAAAAGATCAATAACTGAAATTTTTGAATAAAACTGAGTCTTTTATTATGGTCATAATGGCATATGAGTCCAATACATTTTTAAAAGATAAAAACATCTGCTTAATTTCTGACAGAAATTTGATGGACAATTCCTAGATCTTTTATGTTCTTTGTGTTTTTATCTGATGTACAACACCTCATTAATTATTTTTAAATAAAGGATGTTAAAAGTTATTTCAATATTGTTCTTAAAGCATTTCAAAGTTTCAACAAATACACTACCTTTGGCATAATTGTCTGAGAAAATCATTTTGTCAAATTTTAGTTGATTATTTTTCAGAGTTATCTCCCATTGACCAAACTTGTTACTATACATTAAGAATCAATCTTTTTTTCTATCAAATGATATAAATTATAAATTTTGGTAAAAAAAACCCAGTCAAATATTTAATATCATATATCAAAATGTTGTTCTGTAATATTATTTGTTGCAAATATTTGAGAAAAATGACAGAGTGACCTTTTCACAGATTTCAGACAAATAGATAGATTTGAATTTTCAAATATCTTGATTTTAAGCATCACTGAAGAGATATAAATTGACCAAATACTCATCTGGTGCAGTACAATTGGTAGCCTAGGCTTAAATTTTATTCTGATTTATTAACTGGTACCCTAGGCTTGAATTTTATTCTGCTTTATTAACTGGTATCCTTGGCTTAAATCCTATTCTGCTTTATTAGCTGGTACCCTTGGCTTCAATCTTATTCTGCTGTATAAACTTGTACCCCAGTTTATTTTTTACTTACTTTCCTGCCTCCTCTAATTCCTCGATGGTAACAGGCTGTGTCCTAGTTCTCCAATCATCTCTCGGACGTTTCTGAAAACTTTTACGTTTGTCTTGTACTGAGGTTGATCTCTGCTCTGCCAATGTATTCAGTTTTTGTAGCAAATTGTTTCCAGTTAAAGATGAAGCCTCATCCTGATCAAAAGACTGAGATGTAGAACTACTTGATCTACAAAATATAAACAACAAGGGATAAAGAAAATTTACCTTCACTCAATTGTCCTGACATTATGTCATAGATTTCTCTATCTTGGTTTTGTGACAAGTCTAGTTTTATTCAAGACTTTTTTAAATCATTGAAAGATTTTCAGTAAATAAGTGAAATCAGTCAATCCACATTTACCACTATTATTTATTCATATAAGTCTATTCCTAAAACATACTGTAAATTCACAAATTATTGCAACGTTTTTATTAATGCGAAAAATGAGACAGTTTTGCCAGTGGTCGTGGATTCACAATAATAAATGCAGGCATTGATTTCTGAATTTACAGTAGTCAAAATGTGCTGCTGAAATCCTTTCTTTTCAAACCTAAAAAACAAATCTAACAGTTCAAAATCACTTTCTGAGCCATGCAAATTAAGAAATATATATAAATATTACAAGAGTATTACCTAGAGCACCCCATCCGTCCAGACCTAATGAGGAAGCTGTGCTGTCTGTGTTTACTCTAGTTAATTGTCTTATCATAAATCAACAACAAGTACATGTACTAATCAATTACTGACCATCTGGACATCAGGTCATAGGGGTTAGATTATTATGGTATAGCACAAGGAATTTATGCATTAAAGTGTAAAAAAAAGAAAAACAGTAGATTCATTATTATTCATAGGTTACAAATTTCAACAGAACATGCAAAATACAAATGACTCTATTGGCACGGAAACAAAATTTGTCAAAACCATGAAATCATTTATCCACCAAAATGTATACACAATTTTTCCTCAAACAACTAAAACATGACAAAAAAAATTAACACGACAAAAAAAAAAAAGACTCCACAATATTCTATTTTTCATGCCAGACATCATTGAGAAGGAATGGACTCATTGTTGAAGGCCATACAGTTGCTTATAATTGCTAACATCCACTTCATTTGAACTTTGGTGGATAGTTGTCTCATCGGCAATCATACCACATCTCTATATTTTTATATCAACCAATCATAAACTGTCAATAAAAAAAGGAGGAAAAAAAAAAAGAAAAAACAAATAGTTGAAAAATAAAAAATTCTAAGAAAAATGACAAAAATTTCCCAAAAAGCCAAACTTCTGCTTCAACAAACCTTGAAATATTTGTATACAATAAGTTCCTTTCTCAATTGAGTCAGATACATATCATCAAGATATATCTTGAGATGGCAATAAGAACATAGTAGAATGGAGCCAGGAAAACACTCAATGATGTATATAAATCATGTGATGTCATGTTTCTGTGTTGACTGTGTAGGAGATATAATGATGCATTATAAATATCTGCCAAAATCACTAAGTGTTGTATATGGAGGAAGATCCAGGCCTTTCCTCTTTGATTATAAGACTATTACCTTTGTCATTTTATTTATTGTTTATTTTATTTTGCTTTGATATATCTCCCTGTGTGTTTATACTTTTTACTTTGTCTTCAGAACCAAACATTAAAATAGAAGCCCCAAGTCAAAATTTTCTTCCATATAAACCTTACTACTAAATCCTGGTAATAAATGAAATACCTGCCACTGGATATTAAGCCACCTTACAGCCAATCATAAGTCAAGGAGTTACTGTCCATGGAAACCATCAATTGTAAATAAAAATGTAACTGATAAAATGTTTATGATAACTGCCCCTGACCAATACCATAACAATGAAATGAATAGAAACACTTGGTTGTAACAGACAGACAAATAAGAATACATAGTGTTTGCAAGTAGTTGACCTCTTTGTTTGGGGTTACCAGATATAAATATCTTACCTATAAAATGCAGAAAGTTTAGGAGTTGTTGCCCCTGATCGTGACTTTGGTGTTATTGGACATGACCTTGTTTCCTCTAACTTTGTTGCCATATGAAATATTCTCTCTGTAATGGAAGGCATCTGTACATCCTGATCGTCATCATCGTCGTGAGAAATGCTCTTACGCTGCTCTTGTTCTCGTCTGAAATTACACATGTATGAAATATGAACTAATTTTATCAAAGTAATAGTCTATCTTTACAAACCAGTAGCATGCAACATTTTTAATTTAGCTGTCCCAGAAAATATCTAGGTCCAAGTCCAGAATATAATCAAATGTTAATGCTATCAATTTTAGGTCTTTTTTTCTCATATAGCTCTTCTTGTATTTCTGTATTTATAAATCCTTGGCTTTGAGCAATTCTTGATGAAGATAAATCCTTGGCTTTGAGCAATTCTTGATGAAGATAAATCCCTAACAGCACTTCAAATGCAGGAAATTGATAATGTTTTATTTTCCTTTTTTCAATGAGCTATAATGGAACTGATAACAATTTCCCAGATGAAAACATAAGTAATAGGGTCCCAGCATATTTCTACATCAAAACAGCAAGAACAGTGATTATACACAATGTCAAAATATTTCTACATCAAAACAGCAAGAACAGTGATACACAATGTCAAAAAATTTCTACATCAAAACAGCAAGAACAGTGATACACAATGTCAAAATATTTACATTTCATAACATACAATATCTGAATGAATAAGCAATACATGTACCTGAACATCTTGTTATGTATAATCCATACATGCACTGGTGTATTAAACCTTCATGATTTCTGGCATTCATCTCTCATCATTTATTACAGACTTTAGCAAAGGTCGGACATAATGTTGGCACTGGGGTATATTTATGTAATAGCTGAGACAGAGGTGTCACCTTGATTGTAGGTGTGTACCTAACTATATTTTGTTTATGAAATAGGTTAGAAATACACCCTCCTGTTTGATGAAATGAGAGCCTAACTTAATACATTGTGTTGGCAGGATAGCCTTCTTAATAGATTAGAAATAGCCATTGATATGCTATAAATTTTCATCAACCTTTATTATCTATGTACTGATCTGGGGCTATACCTTTTGCATTGTATTTTTGATGTCACCTTTTTTTTTATCATGTCTTAATCCAAGGTGCGAGTCATTTTTTGGTTTTGTTTTTTTTTTTTCCTTTGAAATCATTGCAAAATATCAATTCCTCTTCATAATGTCTATCCACATCCAAATAGATAAAATTCCTTTTTTCTAATGTATTCCTCAGTTCAACAGATATTTTACCAATAACCTTATTTTTTTGACACAAAAAAGTTTCCTAATTTAAGGAAACAACACATTCAAAAGAAAGACAACTCTTGTAAGATTAAAATAAGGGAGGTAACTATTGATAAGTTCCTTTTAAAAGTCGGTTTATTTTCCCACATGTTATGTGTCTACATTTTGACTTTATAAAAAGTATGGAAGATATCACAAACCAAAGATGTAAAAACTTATCAAATTAACATGATATGAAATTATCTTATTTTCTAAACAACTTCCTGTAGGTATCAAATATTAAATGTAAACTATTTATCAGATATCAAAACATATAATAACTTATCGGCATGGTATCAAATCAGATTGTTTATATGTAATTACCAGCATCTTTATCCTAGTGCAAGTTAGTTCATTTATTAAAATAGGAAACTACTACAACTAGAGATACAATAAGATCTGTTCCCTGTTGCCATTCAAAACAATATTGGATGGCCAAATCAAACACAAAGTTGAAGAGCATTAAAAAACTAAATAAAAGAAGAATGTTTCTGAGGACACAAATACCCCCTGCTCAAGCTTCAAACAAACGAAGACAGACGGAAGGACAGAAAGACGGAAGCTCAAGGGTAACACTTAATGCCCCCGTCGCATATGGCAGGCGCATAAACAATCTGAATGTTGTGCCTAATTTGGATAAAGCAATCTATGCCTGGGGGTAGAGAAACCTTAGATGTAATAACTTATCAAATTAGGGTTCACACCTCCAACAACAAAATTGGTGATTTTGGCAAACATTTAAAATCAAAAAGTGCTGACTTAACTGAACTGATAGACCTACCACAACATCAAAACATGAAAGACCTACCATAACATCTAAATGGAAAAAATCAACAAAAAATACAGAAAGTTGACAAGTACAGGCTGTCTAACATCAGATGAAGTGTTTACTGGAAATTGAAACAGACAACTTGGAATCAAATGAATTTGACTTTTCTGTTTTACAGTATATTGGTGGGTTCTGAAAGAGAATTTAAATCTTACAAATAAGATGTTACTTCTTACCTTGAAAATGTACAGAAACATCTGGTAATTGATTGAACAATATATTACACTCTGTGACAAACATCTGGGGATCAACAAGGGGTAATGCATGCTATAATATGCAATTAATTTGTATGAGGTTCAATTCGGGGGGTTTAAATAAAAGTTTTATGTATTAAAAATAAACAATTTTATTGAAGGAGAAAAAAATGATTCTGAATGACTGTGGCTAAGTATAGTTTAAAAAAATCCCAATATCTTCTTATAGGATTTATTAAACTTGTTAAAGGCCAAAATTAAAAAAATAACATACATGTGTATAGGATTTTACTGAATGTACCTGATGTTTATTAATGTCTACCTAAGATTTTATTTGAATTGCAACAAAATTAAAGAACCTTTGAAAGCACACTCACCAAAGCCCCCATATTATCAATGGGCAAAAAAAATATCATAAGATTCCAAAGTTCAAAGACTCATAACACCTACAAAAGTCAACTGATAAAAATTTCTTGTAGATATTCACATCTACATAATTTTTATGTCCTTTATATCTACCAAGTTTTACAAAATTCTGTTGTGTGGTTTCAAAGGCCTACAATGACAAACTGTTATAGTTGTATATCTAGGCCAAAATTCTAAGTTCAAAGGGGCATAACTCCTAGAAAAAAAGTTGAATCATAATTTTCTGTCAATTTGCACAGCTAAATAATATGTCTTTAATTTATTATCTTCAAAAATTCATGAAATTCTGTTGTGTGGTTTCAGAGGAGATGAGATGACAAGAACAGGACTGACAGAATAATGGACAGGCGGACAGATGGACAGGCGGACAGATGGACAGGCAGACAGATGGCCAGGCGGACAGATGGACAGGCAGACTGATGGACAGGCGGACAGATGGACAGATGGACAGGCAGACTGATGGACAGGCAGACAGATGGACAGATGGACAGGCAGACAGATGGACAGGCGGACAGATGGACAGGCGGACAGGCAGACAGATGGACAGGCAGACTGATGGACAGGCGGACAGATGGACAGGCGGACAGATGGACAGGCAGACTGATGGACAGGCGGACTGATGGACAGACGGACAGATGGACAGGCGGACAGATGGACAGGCGGACAGATGGACAGGCAGACTGATGGACAGGCGGACAGATGGACAGGCAGACAGATGGACTGGCAGACAGATGGACAGGCAGACAGATGGACAGGCGGGTAGATGGACAGGCGGGCAGACTTAAAAAAATTTGAGATTTCACTATAAGATGTAATCCATAAACAAACCTGGTACCCTATATTTATAATGGTAACAACACCAAGAAAAGTAAAATAACCAAATGACCAGGCTAGGGTAGGTATTGCTTCAAGTCTATATCCTTTACATAACCCTGACTACATGTATGTACTAATTAAAAAGACTACTCTAGTTAATGAATTATGATGATTGATCCGTCTGACAGTATCTCAGTCTGACTGTATCAATGTCACACACGATGATGAAAGAGTGGAGAAACTACAGTCAGACATTAATGAGTCAAACACAGAAGCTTCAATCAGAGATAAAACTTGTTCAGTATTGAGAGAAAATCTGGCTTCATAGGAAGTGAGACATTGAAGGGTCAAGTCTGATGAAAATCTAGCTTCATAGGTAGTGAGACATTGAGGGGTCAAGTCTGCTTTTACCCATAACAGTTTCATTCAAATGAAGGGCCTGCTTTTACCTGTGTCAGAGTTTCAGTGTTAGGATTGGGAATTGAGGGAATATTATTTCACATTCTTATGTTTAGAATAAGGTTTAGGAAGAGAGACATTGTTTTAAATGAAGGGCCTACTTTTATCAACATTACAGATTTATAAATGTTTAAAGTAGATGTACAGAGCCACTTGTATCTAAATACTTAAAACAGCAGAGATGTGTACTTATCTGCAGTAAATTATCTGACATGCAGAGTTTTAAAAAAAAAAGGTCAGATTCCTAATATTCCCACCTACAGCTGGTAGGTGCCAATTGTTTTCTTGGTCGTTGTTGTTTGTTGTTGACTCAGACTTACAATCTTACAAACAGAATAGAAAAACTTTAAACATTTTAAAAATAACTGACTACACCTAATGTTTAGAATAACTGACTACACCTACCTTAAACTTTCTTGAATATCATCCTTAGCAGAGAGAGTCATTTTAGATCCCTTTTCAATTTCTGGTGAATCATCCTCGTGACGTGATCGTCTCCTCTGCAAAATTGTAGCTAGTTCCGGATCGACAACCACGCCAGCTTTTTTCATAGATTCGGCACGTTTGAGTATTCCTCTAGGTTTAAATCTTTCATCTTTAGAACCATACGATTCTGAACGTTTTAAACTTGTTGTACCTAAACTTGCTAATTTAGCTTCAGTAGCTTTCACTTTTTCCAACAAGCTTGGAGATATATGACTTTTCCTTTCAGGAGACTTACGGAGTTCTTCCACTTTTTGATGCATAACACTACTTTTTGTTTCTACTTTTTGCTCGACCATCTTTTTATCCCGAACTTCTTTTTCAGAAGTTTTAATGGTTTCGGAATCAATTTTACCATGCGAAGTTCTCCGTACATCCTTAATGAATGAGGTCACTTGTTGTGGAGATTCCACATCAACTTTAGATAAAGCACACTTCATGTTTCCTAATTCATCCGAAGATAAACGTCTGATTGAAGTTTTAGCGCCACCTATATCCTGAGACACCATATCAAGAACAGCTAGACTTGTGTCAATGTCTGACAATTCAGGTTTCACTTCACTAATGCCATTTTTATGAGACTGAGTTTCATTTGAAACTGAGGGGGCCATGTTGGATGAGGCAACTTGTGATTTTGTAAGATCCCGAGACGATTTTCTTGGGATACGTGGAACAATTTTAACTTCAGATTCCTGAGATACAGATGAGACTTCAGCAATAGTTTCCGATGGCTGAACAATTAAACATTCTTCTGACACAGATGGCGCTGGCTTTTCAACACCATTTACAGTACGAGAATCAGTTTCTTGTCTTCTTGCTTTTAAAATTGACAAAACTTCAGTATTTTCTATAACTTCTTCAACGTCTGCTGCGGGAGCCAGGTTTTCTGCTTTTTCAATTTTCTTACTAGTAATTCTCTCCCTTTCCTCTTTTTCCCCGTCTTTCTGTTGAGTTTTCACATGTTTTTTTCGTTGTTTTAATATTTCTGCCAATTCTTCTGTTGGTTTATCGCTAGATGAACAGAGATAAATTCTGCTTGATTTCATGTCGTCTTCTTCAGTAATGTCCTCTGATTGCACATGCTCAGTGTCAACTTTATCTGGAATGTTAGGTAAAGTTCTACGTTCAACTGGATCTGGACTGTGTTGTCTTCGCATAAAATTTGATTTAAAGCTACCAGATCGTTGAACTCCTTTGATTGTCTCTATATCATCTGGTGGTGGTGTACGTTTTACACGTAAACTCTGTGACCTCTCTGGTGTACTTCTACGGGATTCGTCACTACTTCCACTACTTAATGCATCTTGACGTCGCAGGCCAAGCTGTTTACGTGACGACAGATCATCTGCAGGTTCTGGACTAGAAAATCGTTGTAAGAGAGATGAGAAATTGTTTTTACGAGTGATTTTTGGAGGTGCTTTGGCTGATTCCTCAACTTTTCTTTCTGCCTCATTTTCGTGTGAGAATTTTGAAATTGCTGAGGAAACCTAAAAATATTCAGAAAGATTAAAGTTGCAAATCTGAATACCAAAACAAATCAAGTTTAAATGATTACATCATAGGGATAAGAATTACATTATTGAATTATTTCACTTGAAGTCCTTTTTTAATGGTAAGAATAAATCAACCAAGAATTCATATGTTCCATCTTTTATCTTTTTCATTTCATGCCCAAAATTAATATTTACCAATATTCTAATTCAATATAATTTGATACATGTACAAATAAAGACAGGGTTAGTTTATATTTCTAGTGATTACAGACATAATATTCTATATCAAAAACATTTTTTTTTTTAACAGGATTTGATAGGAAGACAAAGCCCAATATTACTGACTCTATCTTCAGGTAAAAGCAAAAGTTAATAGACAAAGAGAAATAACTCTAATATATCATTAGTCAGAAATCTCACATTTTGATGATTTAACTTCCAATGGCGAATTAAATGCATATTCATGATGAGAACATGTTAATGTAATAAGATAATTAATCCTGCTTTGAACTAGACTGATACACTGAGCCCGATTCTGAATGTGCTAGTTCACAAGGTCAGACTCCGAGCCAAACAGTCTTTGCTTTTACTCCTTAATACTTCTCTCAATTAGAAGAGTTAAATAACCTGAATAATTCACTCAGTATATTTGAATGCTCTATGATGGCTACATTAACCTAGTGAGTGGGAGAGTCAAAATGTAATCATCGGGGAGGGACAGAATTCTTCAGGTTGAGAGTAAAGTAAAGATTTTTTGTTCTGATCGTATATATACACATGTATGTCAATGTCAAAAAGACTTTATACAGATAACTGGAACGAACTTACCTTCGATGGAAATGAAAACTTAGATGGCAGTAAATGATCTAAAATAGATTTTCCTGATGCATGCTGGGAATTGTCAGTATGATTAGTACCATGCTGTGAGGAGGAATGAGAATGGTGACTTGTAGAATTTGTTACCTGAGGGAAAGGTAAATATAAGGTCATCAAAATAAACATTCTAATGATAATCATCAACATGTTCAATAAAATGAGTACTGTAAATTCAGAGATTATTGCGATGTTTTCATTATTGCGAAAAATGCGACAGGGTTATAATCACAATAATTTAAACTCGCGTTTGAAATTTTTTATATGAATTAAACAGGATTTTTCCCAATATCGCAAAAATTAAAATCGCATTTTAGTCTAAAATGACAAAATCGCAATAATAAATGCACGCAATAATTTCTGAATTTACAGTAACACTGTACTAAAAATCTTTCTTAAATTACTGTGGATTCATAAGAGTTTGGGGGGGTACCAATTTTCGGTGATTTCGTCGGTAAAGGCGAAACCACAAATTAAATATTTCACCAAGTACCCCGGTACCTATTTCCTAAATGTTTGTATGCCAAATTTGTCAAAACCATGAATTTAAGAATCCAAGAAAAAACAAGTTTTCCTCCATTTATGAAAATTGGTAACCACTAAAATTAATAAATCAACAGTACTGTAAAGTCATAAATTTATACTATGTTTTCTATTTTTAGGAAAAATTTAGATGAGATAGATTTTGCAATTTTAAATTTGATAGCATTGTTTGAATGGCGCATTTTCTTATATCCCTACATTATAAACTCACATGTTATACACGTTGTTCTGTCAACAATCACAACAATAAAATTCAGCACAAATTTCTGAATATTTTACATTTTGTAGGACTTATTTTTCAATGTTCACATCCAGTTATGTATTTTTCAGACTTATTGCTTCATCAAGGACACAAAAAATTACATTGAACATAAAACGAATATCAACCAAATAAAAAAGTTTTAATATATTTGCTGAGAGCTATTTAAACCTTTGATACTAAGTATACATGGTATATTTAATGATTTAGTTCCACCCAATTGTATACCTGTTTAAATTAACCTGGGTGTGTTGCCAAATTGTAAATTTACATATATATATAAATACAGTCATAAAACATAAAATTTATTTTCAATGTCATGTGTGGGAGTGTTCTCAATAAACACAAATTATTTATTGTACTCATCAATGATGTCTCAACCTGACAATAAACATGATTTTTGAAGGGTGAGAATTAATTTATGACAATAAGGTGGAGAATATTGGCTTCCATTCAAGTCTAGTATCATTGACTGACTACTGTCACATTCTATGGAATCAGAACTTTGAATTAACATATCAATGGATTGTCTCCCCTTTTATCTTTAAACATTAAGTCGCAGTATGAAAGTATTCCCACTGGCCATCTTTGATGTTTCTTACAAATAATTCTAAAGGGAATCATGGAATTACCACACCAAGGGAGTCTTCACATATATGTTTTTTGACGACTTTTTAGTAACCCTTCAAGATCACCTGAGTTTATCCCTAGATAATATTAGGGTTGTGTTGCTTAATCTATAGCTTTATGTGTAATGCTGTGTGATATATTGTTCTTCAAATGATAGGTTTTTTTTATTGCCCCCTCAGTGTCAAAATTCTCCCTTTTTCAATATTCCTTCAAAAATGTACAGTTCCTTTTTATTTTAAATGAACAAACCATGCAAATATCTAAGAAACAGTTGTTGTAAAAAGGGTTTCTAAAAGTTGGTGCAAAATTCAAAAACTTTAATTTCATGCTTTTCATTGGTTAAATTCAAACTTTTGAACACCATGCTTTTATTGGTTCACATCTAAATATTTGAACATTTTTTTAAACTCCATGCTTTTTATACCTCAAAGTCTAAATCATCCTGAAATAATGTTGGAAGCATTTATTTAATGAATTACAGCAGTTTTTTGTTCGCATGCGTATTAAGCAAAAATTCAGAATAAAAAAATAACTTGTTTATATTCAATGCAAAAAGTTAAAGCTTCATTACAGAAAGATATCATATAGTTTATTTGGAATAAAATTATTAAAGCTCTGAATATTGAACTGCCATTGTTGTGAACAGAATTAAAACATGCTCCTCAAACTTGTAACTTTGCAACGTCTGATGCAGAGCTCTATAATATCTTCTATTTTTGATGTTTATGAAGTTAGTAATGCTGTTGGTCCTTCAATTGTTTTCTTCCTTTTTTTTTAAAAGGGGGTCTTTACATCTTGCACCTCATCTTTATAAACTTACTTGTGATTTAGATGAAACAAGATCCGATGATTCTGACGATAATGATGATGGCTTATCTCCCCCTGATAAACCTGAAAAACAAAATTACATCAAAATATATAATAAACCAATGTCAATAATTAGTTTACGATTTAGAAAACAATTAGGAGACAACAATATAGTATTTGAAGATTTTCTGGCATCAATTGATGGTTTGATAGTCGCAAATTGTGTAAACATATAACTTTGCAACAAAAAAGGGACTGTTTCATTTATCTGAAAAGTTCCTGAAATATTCAAACTGTTTCAACTTCCTTTGGGAGAATAAAAACTCTTAACTTTGCAACAACAGTAGGCGAGCTTACAGCAAGTTATAAATGACGACTAAGAGGCAGATCCCCGGGAAGGAGAGGGGGGTTAAGCTGAAAAGCTTAATCACCAGGTTATAGTAGATTTTGAGGCAGCACTACTGCCATCAGTCTTTTATTATATTTCCATCAGTTCCATCCCTCCCTTTTTATCTCTTTCAACTAGCCAAACCCAAGGTTATATGGTACAAACCCAAGGTTACATGGTACAATCCCAAAGTTACATGGTACAATCACAAAGGTTACATGGTAAAAACCCCAGGATACATAGTACAATCCCAAGGTTACTGGTACAAACTCAAGGTTACATGATACAATCCCAAGGTTACAAACTCAAGGTTACATGGTACAATCCCAAGGTTACATGGTACAAACCCAAGGTTACATGGTACAAACCCAAGGTTACATGGTACAATCCCAAGGTTACATAGTACATTAACCCAAGGTTACAAGGTACAAAAACCAAGGTTACATTACAGCAGACTTCAATGTGGTAAACAATTACTGTTTTAACAGGTACTTAACCAAGCTTATTAAAACTCCTGACATCTCATCAGAACAGAATTAAACAAACTTAAAACAAAATGAGTCTGCTAATTGTCTATAAATTGTTTCTACATTCAATACAGATATCTTTGGTGTTTTCTGGTTAACCATTGCCTGGTACCCATATGTAAACAACATAGCAACATCTGCAGAGCAGATCATGTAAACAAACATTCTTAACCAGGAAAGAGCTGACGATTTCAAAACTTCCTTTTCAAGGTTCTGATAGAATCACAAATCAAAGAACAAATATTTATTTTGGTATAAACGCCAATCAGTTCAAATTCATGATATACTTATGGGTGGAGGACAATGACATTTTAATGTTTTTCAAACATTTTTTTGTCAAGTGAATAAAAAAATATCTACTGTATGACTTACTGGCTTAATGTTAAAATGATTAACTTTCCTACAGATCAGATCAACTTAAATAGTCCTTCTCCAGAATAACTACTTCTTTCATACAGACATTTCATATTTAAATAATACTGTGGATTCATTTATTGTCATGGATACCAATTTTCGTGGATTAAAGAACAATTGTAGTTTCGTGGATATTTGATTTCATAGTTTTGCCAAAATCTGCATACAGACCTATAATAAATTTGTACTTCTTTGAACATTTTAATTCGTGGTTCGTCTATAGCCACGAAATTTACGAAAATAAGTATCCCACGAATAATAATGAATCTACAGTATTCTTCAAAATCTCCAAAAGAGGAGAAATACCCCGTACTTTTACTGGTATATTAAAAAATAAAGAGATGTGGTATGATTGTCAATGAGACAACTATCCACCATAGTTCAAATGACATAGATTTTAACAATTATTATGTATGCATATTCCACCTCTGATAGACCATGCCTTATTTACAATTTGCTGAAAGGGTGGCCCTAAGAGTTACTAGATACCACCACTAAATGTTATAATAGAGGAAGCAACTGTTGTGATTGTCCTCTTACCAGCGGTCACCACAATTAAATATTCATAGTTTCTTGTTACTGAAAAGATGGCCCAACAGAAACGAGAACGATTGTACATAATACCAATTTACTGCCCTCAGATAACACTTTGAATCTGTATACCCTCAACAGAGGAGAACGATTGTACATAATACATATTTACTGCCCTCAGATAACTATTTGAATCTGTATACCCTCAACAGACGATACAATTATTATAAAGTCAGATCGACTGTGAGGGTGTATTGTAATGAGCTAGAGGCAAACTCTTTCAAATATTCACATTTTCTAGTTGAACCTAAACTATCTACCAGAGTCCAAAATACATGGATGTAAGCAATATATAAATATAAAGATGTGGTATGATTCCAATGAGACAACCCTCCACAATAGACCAACACATCTCCTTATTTTTATAACATAAAAGAAAGCAACTATTAAGTCTGCATTTTCCATTCAATTAATAACAATTTGTTGTACAAAATTAAGATAATGATCAATTTGAAATGACAAATATTGACATTATTTTGTGTCTTTTTCTCATTAAACTTGACAATATTTACCTACAATTAATATCTTACTGTATACTTTGTATAAATCATCAAAGATTTGAAATACTTTCTCCTTCTGTCACTTCAAATTCAGGAAGTCGCTTAAAATTTTTACCGTCAGTTTCATTCAACCATGTTAAATTGAGAATCATGTCAGTCGTAAAATTGACATTATACTTCATAGGTCCAGCAATTGTCAAATAAGATTGTGTTGTTCACTTTATGTCCCGTCAACCGTAGAACTAACTTAACTTACGTAAGGTTTAGATCCTGTCTCGCCAATCAATACCTTGTGCAAGAGTTACATAATCATCCAACGAAAACATTCAATATCTCTTTTTAATTTTCCTTTGTATGCGGTGAGAGCTGCCTGTTATCTTAATCCTGATTTACAGGCTTTTTTCTAAAAATAACCACTTAATCCCTCAATATTACCACAAACAATTATCATGTTATTATACAGATCAGACTATTTTTTACAAATCCATTTGAATAAATACATAACATAACTAATTGTTGACTACAACAGTATAACTACAACCAACATTAAATTGATATATTTTTGTCATTATACATTTCTATCGATCTATTGATAAACTACTGAATGACACACACTAATAGCCTGTCAGATCTGTACAGAGTGAATCCGGGAAACTCTTCAATTAAATACAAGATAGATTTTATTTTTCATTTATCTAACCTGTCAAATTTCTACTACAAAAAACAACCAGTCATTCTTCAGTTGATATGTAAATAACTTCTTATAAAAGCAAAATGCACTGGTGAAAGGGAGGTAATCCATTCAATCTGCTACTAAAGTTAGATAACTCAGGTCAATTCAGAATAATTCAAACCTGTCAATTTCTAATACAAAAACACAACCAGTCTTTCTTTAGTTGATATGTAAATAACTTCTTAAATATAAAATGTATTGATCAAAGGGAGGTAATCCATTCAATCTGTTAATTCTGTTCATTTCAGAACAATTCTGACCTGTCAATTTCTTATACAAAGAGAGTCAACCACACTTCAGTTGATATGTAACTGTATTCTTTAAAAGTATATTTAAAACAGAAATTATTGGTAAAGGGGAGGTAATTCATGTTAATCTGAAACTAATACTTCAACTAATGTTAGATTCTCTATAATTTTAGAATAAATCTAAGATTTTTTTTTTATTTAGAAAGTTCTGCAGTTATTATGAACTTTGTAATACTTACTTTTGAAAACTGTTCCTAAAACTACTCCAATAATCCATCTGAACCAATCGTAAAAGATTAGAAACACATTCATCCTATTCTCATTAAGGCACCATCAATAAAACAGATAACAGCTCAACTCAATAAATTAAAGTTCTATTTGGTTTTTTTTTCTAATTTCAAAGTCATTGTAATTTTGTAACAGACAATTTGCCAAAAAAATAATTCCATTTGTCACTTTATCCCTCATTTTGTGGACTTTTTTTGGAATAATGTTAACCAAGGTCGGACAGATACATTAATGCAGTCTGACTTGGAAAATACAATAATCATTTGTGTCATTTTTCACATATTTCATGTTTTCCAAGCATAAAATGTTATTTTATAGATGATCCATGTTCATTTCCCATGCAGACAGTTAATACCAGGCAAAATTCTTTAGGTTACGATGACATCATGTCTTACAACAAAACCTTGTAAAACTGATCGTCCTAAAAACCACAATAATTTCAACACAATTAGCTAATAGTTAATATGTGAAGATAAAACTTCTGGCAATATATTGAAACTTTATACTAAGTTCTTTTTATAAGTTCATGGTCCAACAAAATTAAAATATTTTATAAAATTAACATTAAGAGCAAGTTGTTCCAAATTAATAAATTATGTAGGTTACAAAAATCAGAGGACAATTTTTATTTAAATCCAATCAATTATCGAGAAAAAAGAAATTGTTAACTATTTCAATTGCATTTAGGTGTAAAGAATGTTCTATTTCAACAATAAGTGATCAAACACATGACATACAGATTTTATCAGTTATAACAGATTGGTATCTCCTTTCAAAACTTCAAAAACTCTTTCAATGGTAAACATTTAAATTATTTTGGATAAAATGCAGAAAGAATTTGCAGAAGGTAACCTTTAGACCTCATAATGATATCTCTCCCTTAAAGCTCTGCAGGAAGCCAACTCCATGCAAGAGAACAACCTCGTACTAAGATATGCAACTTTCATTCTTCAACTACATGTTAAATAAGAGTTCTTGAAACTGAATCAAACACATGTATAAAACACTTATGAAAGCCACAGTTCCATCCTTGACCATCTGTCGGGAAAAAAATCTTCCTTCTATTAATCCTTAGCTGTCCAGGTAAATAACTAAACTGTTGTACATTCTCAAGATACTTTTATGAAAGGGAGATAACTCTTTAGTCTGGTAAACAAGTAGTAATCACATTTTCCTCCAAGTTTGATTCTTCTCCAATATACTAACTTTTTTAGTAGAATTTTCTTCCAATATTTGACACTGAATTAATCCAATATAGGATACTGTTGAAGTCATATAGACTTCTTGTCTTGTGACTGTATCAGTACATTGTCATTTTATCTGGGAACAGATCTTATATCAGATCAGATATAACTCTCGGCTATATCTTATTCCTTCCTTTGTATATAACACAAT